GCACACCCAGCACTCAATCCGCGGAGCCTGTTCTTGTAGAAATAGTTAGACAGTGATGTCGAATCGAGTCGAAGTTAAAGACCTACGTCCCCCCGCAAAGCTCCCGGTTCAGACGGTATACTTAACCGCGTTATTAAACTTCTACCCGTCCAACTCATCGTGATGTCGGCATCTATTTTCAATGCTGCTATGACGAACTGTATGTTTCCCGCGGTGTGGAAAGAAGCGGACGTTTTCGGCATACATAAACCTGGTAAAGCCAAAAATCATCCGACGAGTCACTGCCCGATTAGCCTCCTTATGTCTTTAAGCAAACTGTATAAGCGTCTGCTCTATGAAAGCCTCAGAGACTTCTTCTTATCCAAGGGCATTCTCATCGATGAACAATTCGGATTCCGCGCAAATCACTCATGCGTACAACAATCAGAGTCGGACAGAGCCAAAGGAAGTGTAGATGCTTCAGAGGACGCGGGGACGGTTGGCACGACGGAGGCCGTAGACGATGGCGCGGGCACGATGGAAGCTGCGATGCGTGATGCTGGAGTTTCACGGGTTTAGTATTGCAGACGCAAGAACGGCGGGCGCGACAGCGACAGCGTAAGAACTCGCAGGGCACTAACTTTATAATCTGAAAATTCCGATGAGATCGACGGTTGATTTCATCGCTGTGTGCCCAGAGGGCTGCCCCGACACTTAAATACGCTTGCCTTGTGGTGAGGCCCAACGAAGTGGGCGGCGATTGAATTAGTTTGAACAACCGAGCGGCTACAATACCGGTAGACGGTAGACAGATTCCAGGTATTGTAAAGATGGTTCCAATATTCCCAGGCAGTAAGCGGGTTACAATTAGGCGTAGGTCGAAATTCCCGAGAAACACATGGGTGGCAGATGTGAACAATGATAGGCTGAGCGGGCGGTCTGTGAGCACGTCCGCACGCGACGGGTACTTCGTTAGGAATGTGAAGCGTAAGGTATAAATCACAGACGGCATCAAACTCTTTCTATAGACCTTAAAGAAAGAAGGGTTCTCTTAAAATGCGTTTTGTTTATATTTATTTATTTTTTGCATTTCATTTGTTTGATTCGTCATTTTATTTATACTTTCATCCACAACATAATTAATAGATGTTCATCAATACGAAAACGAGTAACTAATTTATTTGAATCTTAAATGCATGTTGAACACAATGATTTGTTAATCGTAAAAATAAAACTACCCACAACTGACTTTTAATGACGTTTGAAAACATAACTTGTGTACGTGTGTGTAAGTACATCTCTCCGACTAGGGACATGGGTTTCCTAGTGGTTCGCAGTTCCGATGTGCTAGTTGAATCAGCTAAGCGCTGCCCTTGCTTTTTTTTTTTTTTGGTCAGGAGGAAATCGCCGGACTTCCGCCCTCCACTGGGGACGGCGGGCGGAGCATGTCGGAGTCGAACCGACTAAAACCTCCTGTCGCTCAACAACCAACGTCCAAACCTCACATGAGACAGAACTCATGAACAGGCAAAGGGGGGAAAGTGAAGTGTTTAGTGCGGAGCACATCTCTCCCATCACCCTCCCCCTCGGGACGCCGGACTGGCGGTCGTCGGCGCCACGACCACCAGCCCTCTCGGTCGGCAGGCTATCCGGAGCCCGCCTAGATGATGCCGGTTAGAGTGAGCTGTCCTACGGAATACCCCGCTGGGTCAGAACCAGCGTGGGTCGAGGATAGCCGGCCTTCCATCACCCGGATGCTCTTGCGTAAAACGCGTGCAGAGCAGCTTGCACGACGTCTTCTTAGGTCCCCCTCGCCGGTCCCCAGACCGACATATGAGGGGGACCCGAAACACTTAGAGGGCCAGGGCTTGGGCGAAATCCGCCTTCCTGGCCCCCGCTCGACGGCGGCGGGCTTGCGCGTCTCTAACGCGCCCCGCCGCCTCCTTCTGCGAGATGGTGCACTCGCAGAAGTCGAGCATCGCCTTCCATGACTCGTCGTCGCCGAGCATCGATGCCACAACACTCGGCAACGACAAGTCGTTTCCTATTTTTGCGACGAGGACACGGCGCCACCCCTCCCATGCGGGGCAGGCGACGAGCGTATGCTCTGCCGTGTCCAAGTCGCAATCACAATGGTGGCACTCTGCCGTCGGCTCGGCTCTGATCCGGTGCAGGAACTCACCGAAGCAACCATGCCCAGTGAGANGTCGCCGAGCATCGATGCCACAACACTCGGCAACGACAAGTCGTTTCCTATTTTTGCGACGAGGACACGGCGCCACCCCTCCCATGCGGGGCAGGCGACGAGCGTATGCTCTGCCGTGTCCAAGTCGCAATCACAATGGTGGCACTCTGCCGTCGGCTCGGCTCTGATCCGGTGCAGGAACTCACCGAAGCAACCATGCCCAGTGAGAACCTGCGTGAGCCGGAAAGTGAGGCGTCCTCTGTCACGATTCACCCAATCCACAAGGACTGGGCGAATCGATCGCCTCGACGGTCCTACGACCAGCCGAAGGATCGGCCAGCCGCCTGGACCATGATTCCAGCACGGAAGCGCTGCCCTTGCTTGGGCAGATGTTAGTTAGCAAATACTTTCAGGCTGAGATGCGACGTCTACATTATTGACGTCACGAAAATAACCAGTCAAATATGTCCTGTTGATCCTTGTTCTATGATAACATAACAGATGTATGTGCTAATGTGATGCAATAATATTATCCAGGTATTGCATCTGGATAGTAATGTACGAAGAGGGATCAAAAAGTAGTGAGAACGACATACTCTTTGGTAAGAAAAAAAATAAAAATAAAAAATACGGGCAGGCATAGCTCAGATACATATTTGTAATATTAATAAAGAAAAAAAAAATTTCGATTCACTTTTGTTTTTTTTCTGAATTTGTTTTCTTCGTGTCGGAACGTGTTCTCGAAAATGGAGAAAAACGAAGTGCGAGCCGTTATGAAATACCTCTGTTTAAAAAAAAAAAAAAATTTTAACGACGCAAGAGATTCATTGCGATTTGGAAGCAGCATTAGGAGAGTTTGCTCCGCCGTATTTCACTGTCGCAAGATGGGCTTCTCAATTTAGAGTAGGGAGAACGAGCAAGGAAGACGAACATTGTTGCGGTCGTCCATTGACGCCAATCACTCAAGAAAATGTTGCGAAAGTCGAGAAAATTGTATTGAGCGATCGAACTTAACCATCCGATACTTAATTCAAGAAACGAGCATGTCATATGGAAGTATTCAATCCATATTGAAACAATTTTTGAATATGAGAAAAATCTCCGCAAGATTGGTGCCGAGTATGTTAACCGACAGTCAGAAACAAAATCGACTTGACATTTCCAAGACATTGTTGGATAAGTTTCAAGATGATTCTGATTTTTTTTGTCTCGTTTCGTAACAATGCACGAAACATGGGTCCATCATTTTGATCCCGAGACAAAACAGCAATCTTCGCAATGGAAACGGCCATTATCACTGACCCCGAAGTAGTATCGTGCCGTGTCATCGGCTGGCAAAGTTATGGCCTCAGTATTTTGGGACTCAGAAGAGATATTGTTGATTGATTAGTTGGAGCGTGAAACCGCTATTACAGGCCAATATTATGCAGCTTTAATTCCCAAGTTGAGGAGTGCCATCAAAGAGAAAAGGAGAAAGGAAATTCGAAGGAGCGTGCTGTTTCATCACAACAACGCACCCGCGCACAGGTCGGTAGTTGCGATGGCTGCCATTCAGCAAGCTGGCTTCGAGTTGGTTGATCAGCCCCCCTTATTCACCAGATCTAACGTCTAGCGATTTGTATCTGTTCCCCAAATTGAATGATTACTTAAGGGGAAGCAGGTACGAAGACGATAATGAGGTGATGGTGGCCGTGGAGAGCTTTTTGTGGGACCAAGACAAAACTTTTTTTGAAAGGGATTGAAGCCTTCGAAAAGCGCTGGACTTGCTGTGTAGAGAGACTCGGAGACTATGTAGAAAAATAAATTATTAAGTTATCTAGTAGTATGTGAGGCAAAATTATGCGGCGATACAAAAGCGGACACCGCTGTGAAATTATCAAGAAATAAATTGGAGTGGAGTCTAGATACTACTAATTATGATGTTACAACTCCGAAACACACATTCTGATAAAACATCAAATTGTTAGGCGATAAATTATCTTTTGACTATCGATCGATCAATGCGACGGTTTTGGGGGTAGAAGAAAAGGCCGCTGAAAGATGCTGCTATAGTTCTTTTCCCCTTAATTTACCTGAACGGTCGAAGGATCACTTTTTACCGGTGGTAGGACCTCTTGTGAGTCCGCACGGGTAGGTACCACCGCCCCGCCTATTTCTGCCGTGAAACAGTAATGCGTTTCGGTTTGAAGGGCGGGGCAGCCGTTGTGACAATACTGAGACCTTAGAACTATATCTCAAGGTGTGTGGCGCATTTACGTTGTAGATGTCCATGGGCTCCAGTAACCACTTAACACCAGGTGGGCTGTGAGCTCGTCCACACATGTAAGCAATAAAAAAAAAAAACAACAATAATATTTTTTTAAATAGAAAATTGATAAGTTCTAACTCTTTGGAAACTCTTAGAAAATAAGTATGTAACCTCTATACGATTAATCTTAAAAAAGGTTAATATGATATAAAGATGACATGAATAGAATTTCGAATATTGAAACATAAAAAAACTTTAGAAAGATCATTAGACATATAAAAGCATTTTTGAAATATAAAAAGATATAAAAATAGTGGTGAAGCAATAGCTTTAAATGTTGTTTCTCTTTATAAGAGCAACTCAATTTGTGCTATAGTTTTACGAAGCTAAGCTGTATTTTGATATAAATAAAATATTACATTATAAGTATAATATGTTTTTTGAGGAAACAGCAGTTTCATTTCAAATATGAATACCACCAAGCCTGTTGGGTTACCTTTTTAAAAATGAACGGTTAAATGAAACTAAAAATTATTGAATAGGCAACAATCTTTAATATTCTTATTATTATAATAACATTTATTCTTCTCAATCTCTTGCGAATGGAGGCCTTATGTTTGTCAAGAATATGTATATACCCATTTCACTGTAAACAAATAAATTGCTATTATTGTAATAGTTATATATAGTTTTCGACAGTAGTTAAATATACCTATATAATTAATTTCATATGATAGTAAAACTATAACAGTTCCTGCAATATGCAATGAAAATTCGATCAATGCGTAAATTATTACAATTTAATATTTGCATTAGATAAGATGACGACTTGAAGTTAGGTGTTGGCAGGAAACCATACGAAACATAAGGGGCCGTACAGCGCCCAAATAAGCTTCGAATTAAAAGTATAAAATAACAACAAAGATCTTACACTTCTTTAACTTCAATGCCACCGAAAATGGCGTCTCTGGGTCCAGAGCATCTGAGGTTGCGAGCTTCTTCGTAGCTATTGCAAGCAGTTCCGACGAACTCATTACCTCCATCTACTGCTTGCCTGATAGATTCGGCGTAGAAAACATAGGCGTAAGAATGGGAGCAGGCATCGTCCAGGCATCCGCTTTGACCGCTACCGCCGGAGGGATAAAAGTCGAGATCTCCCAAAGGATAGTCATAACCAATCAGCCCGGCTGTTGTGTGCAGGACTTCTACGATGTTAGCATCGTCAGGATTGAGAATTTCAGGGTTGTGAGTCCAACCGTGGAGAGATGGGTCCAGTGCTGCAATATTTGATTAAAAATTAAATTTAGTCTTTGAACTACCTATTGGTTTACTTATTAGTATTATTATTTACCTATTGTTAACTAAATTCTAAGCGCAATTAGACATCAATGTGATATAACAAAGGGTGGCGGTATTTTTACTGCCAGCTCGGATAGGCTGATGAAAGCTCACGACTAGCCTCGAATTGATCGGTTGTCGGAGTCCATCTATGGAGACGACAGCAGAAATCCTGACCCTCATCTTGCAAAAATTGATCGATGATTCTCTCATTAATTCCTTTAAAGAATAATGGAAAAACCACCGATAGTAGCGATAGCGGGGAACTGTTCCGATTTTTTTCCCACAGGAGAAAATCGCCGGATTCCTATCCGCGCAGCGGGTGGGGTATGTGGCAGTTGAACCTCACTAAAAACTCCTGTCGCTCACAGCCAGCGCCTTACTCCGTACCGGGCTGGAGACCAGGTGGAGCTATTGAGACGCCGGGACAGTGTTTACGCAGAGCATATTACATCCATCCCGCCGTCCCCCAGACGCCGGACCGGAGTTCTTAGGGCGCCGGTCCCGACCCCCTGCAACTGTTCTGATTGGAGTAACTTGAGAAATCTTGCAATATTTTGTAATTTTTTATTTGAATGTTATTACGAGTAGATTCTCTGACTTATCGATCCTTGTTTGAAGAGTAATAGGATTCTAATTACATTTAGATCCTCTTTGAAAATTTATTGCTTTTAACAAGCTATGACAAACACGCTAAATGTGTGTCTCAGTCAATGTTGACGATTACATAGCTAAGACAAAAATAAATAACACAATTTAATGTATGATGCAGAATAAAAATGAGGTACAAAAATAAAAACACGTACCAATAATGTGAGGAATAGGTTGGTTTGAATTTCTAGCTGCGATACCAGCGATGTGTCCACCGAGACCAAGTCCGACAATGCGAATAAGCTCGGAATCGTAGCTGAAGGTTGTAGTCAAGATATTGATGAATTCAGCAATTAATCGACCGCATTGACGAGCGTTGGCCAGACCCTCGGTGTATAATTTCGATCCAGGACTCCAGTCGACGGCGATTACGTTTACATCTTCAGCGGCGAGGTGAGCTGAAAAAGAAAATCGCTTATAAGATGTTAGCTTCGCTTCGTTTTTTTTTTTATTGCTTAGATGGATGGACGAGCTCACAGCCCACCTGGTGTTAAGTGGTTACTGGAGCCCATAGACATTTACAACGTAAAGGCGCCTATATAAGTTCTAAGGTCTCAAGTATACAACGGCTGCCCCACCCTTCAAACCGAAACCTCTATTTATAGAGAAGAGGAATAAAACTAATTTTGACGTGATCCGTGACCACGAATACTATAGTTTTCGCAGTGTCCGAAGTTGTAAAATGAAAATAACAAACAGTACTGTGAAGTCGTGATGATTTTGGTTATGTCTGCAACTAGCAATAGACTGAATGAATACTTTTATAGATTTATTCATTGATATACGAGTAAGTTAACCATTGTTACACTGTTTACTATGGTTTCTTTGTTTTATTTTTTATTGCCTTTGTTGGCAGACGATAATGCGGCCCACCCGATGTTGAGTGATTGTCGTCACTCATGGATGTCAGCAAGCCAGGGACAGACCCAAGCGGCTACCTATCGCTTAGTACTTTCCGTAAGCCTCGTTTGAAGAAGGATATGTCATAGCGCTCGAGCAATACTTTGGAGGGGAGTTCATTCGAGAGTCGAATCGTACGTGCCATAAAATATCTCTGGAAACACTTTGTGGATAAACGCAGCGGTGCCAAGGCACAGGCAAGTCGCGGCCTGCCTTATGGAGCTATGTAATTTCTCCAATAATGTAATGGAAGTTATCTCCTACATCTATATATATAAAAGAAAGTCGTGTTAGTTACACTATTTATAACTCAGGAACGGCTGAACTGATTTGTCTGAAAATTGGTGAGGAGGTAGCTTAAAACCAGGAGAAGGACATAGGATACTTTTTATCACGTTCCCGTGGGACGCGACATAAAACGTGGTATAACAAAACGCAACTGACAGCTAAACTTAATATATTCTATGGTTAATTATAGTAGAATTTTGAAGTTGACCGGTTGATGTGTTTGAAACAAACCGTGTGGCGGAACAAAGTTCGCCGGGTCCACAAGTAATAGCTATATATAGGTACTATTAGCGATTGTATGATCAAGAAACTCAGTATTCTACATATTTTTATATTACTTTCTATATTTTTCCCATTAATATGGTAATATTGTGCTGATCTGATATGGATCCTGTAATATGGGTAGCTTTTGAAAGCTTATACTAAAATATTTTTTAATTTAGAATATAATTTTAGACTTCTTCTTAAGACTATTCAGTGTGTTTTATTTATTTATCATTTGATGTTTTATTGGTAGTCCATAAAGTGACAAAAAATCTCATACCGGGTATGACGAAAGCGTTGAAGTTTCCAGCGACAGTTTCACCGTGATTGTGTATCGTGAAGATGGTGCGGCGAGCGAGGGAGAACGAAGAAGTCATAATAGAGTTGACGGACAGCAACAACGGTTCACTGACCTGTGGGCTTCCCCTGAAATTTGAGGTTGTCGTAATAATAATATCGTTAATTCATATTAATAATTCAAAGAGCTTGTGGCTTTGACGATGAGAATTATAGTAGGCATTCAGCTTCACCCTAGCATGTAGGTGAGCTCACGGGGTTCAAACCGGAGTGTTGCTAACACTGGCTATAGCAAGAGCAGTGCTTCGCAGAATCTACCACCGGATCGGAAACGCGACCCACTGAGAAGATACGGCGAGAAACTCAGCGGGTTGTGTCTATGGTTCAATTTGCTCGTCGAGCCCTTCGTCGCAAGCGACTGGATCAACGAGGACGGTGACCGGTGTTTGTGGTACCTAAAAGCAACGTTAATAGATCGGGAGGATCCATAATGAGCATGGAGTCATCGTGACCTAAAGGATAAGACAATCTGCATTCGTATCGTGCGATACAACTGCATCGGCGTTCGAATCCCGCAGGCAGGTGTGTAGCTTAATTTACTTTGTTGATGTCCACGTGCTCCGGTAACCATTTAACACCAGATGGGCCAAGAGCTCGTTCAAAAGCTTAAAAAATAATAACGACACTTTAACTTTAAGCTACCCGAAGTTGTATGTACGTGCACGCCATGTCATTTAGAAGATGACAATTATTCTACAATAGAACATAATAATATGCAAGTTGAGAATCCGGTTAATTGTGTGGCCCGTTGTTTGCTCGGTCACTAGGCTGGAGCCCCGATCACACGAAAGTTAGACTAGATAGATATCGTTGTTTTTTAATGAATCTGTAATTAAGTTTGCTCCTGTGGATTTACATCCGAAAATAGGCGAATGCTCTTAGAGGATTTCACGTAGTCGTAGAGCGCATTGTGAGGTAATAGAGTGAAGTCACGTGTTCCGCTTGAAAGGAAATAATATAATTGAGACTTTATCATCGTGCAATTGGCCATTTCGTTGACATCGCCGTGTGAGTGCGTGAAAATTACGACTGTTTTTTTCCTGATATGGATAAAATTCCTAAATGGATTTGAAGTATCAATATCAGCTGACGTCATACTTAAGACTAAACACAGATAAACATTATATACCAAAATATGTGTGTATATCTGAAATAAATATACGATAATTACAAGCTATTTATCTAAGAATTGTAGTACTATTATCTCGAAAATGTATTTTTGTATTTAAAGACATTCACTCAGAATAAGTGTCCAGAACCAGTCTTTATTTGGTTAGTGATTATGCATTGTCTAAGATCACTTTTTTTTTTAGTGCTTACATGGGTGGACGAGCTCACGCCCACCTGGTGTTGAGTGGTTACTGGAGACCATAGACATGTACAACGTAAATGCACCGCCCACCTTGAGATATAAGTTCTAAGGTCTCAGTATAGTTACAACGGTTGCCCAACTCTTCAAACCGAAACGCATTACTGCTTCACGTCAGAAATAGGCGAGGTGGTGGTACCCATTCCCCCATCTCCATTGTGGAAATCAATCCTGAACAAATGTTAAGTAGGTGTTTTCTTAAAAGACTAACGGTGAGATTCGAACACCTAGATGCGTCGCTCGATACATTCACTCCAGGCACAATAATATATATGTTGACCGTGGAAGTTTATTTTATACAATTAGTAGATAAACCGATAAGCCTTTACATACCGATGAAAGAGGTGAAATACAACATCCCGTTCTCCCAAATTGAAACTGTACGCTGAAATAAAATAAAAATAAAATTAAAAACATCGCCGTTTATTATAATCATATTAAACTGACCGTAATTTAAATCGATAATATTTCGTAATATCATTTTGCTTGGATTAAAAGATTTGTTGGATTAATTATTATGCTTTGTTTCTACCTATGAACAGATATTGTAATCATTTTATCTTTACGAAGTATTAAAAGTGCAGGTACTGATCAGCTTATTAATCTTAAATAAAAATTAAAAAAAGTATATTTCGTTGTTTCTGAAATTAAAAAAAAATTAAATTGAACTATATTACAAAAGCGAAATTCACTATGTAAATAGCTCTTATGTTTTTTAATCGTATTATTGATAACTAATTAGTCCGACGCTTGAGAATCTTCGTCTCTTGTCTCTTCTTTATATTGAGTTTTAGGGTTAAGTAAATTTACAGTTTATTTATAATTAGTAGGCTTCTGTTGTTAAAACAATTTAATGGCTGCTCTGAAAGAGTAAGTTTAATTAAAGATCCTTTATTAAAATACATTAAAACCAAAGTAGATCAATATGATTTCTAAGATAGCAGGAAAACTGTTTGTTATGGTAATTTCAACTGTAATTTCACATTTTCTTGGGTAGCTGGGTAGTAAGTAAGTAATATAGGTACTAAATACAGTAAAAGCTCTTCCGTGAATATATGTTCCGTAAATATTTCGTGAATACAGAAACCGTTGATATGGAAAAGCGCTTTTACAAAGGTTAAGCCAACTATGTTTCTCGCCGGATCTTTTCAGTGGGTCGCGATTCGATCCGGTGGTACACTTCGCAGAGTATACCACCGGATCGGAATGGTGACTCACTGAGGAGTGGAAGAAACTCAGTGGGCTGTGTCTATGGGTTAGTTACTCTTTTTCGTAATCGACTTGACGATCGACGTAATCGTGCTTGAGAGGCTTAAAAGCACTTTTTTTATCCTACCTATGCTGATAGCCTTGAGAGGCTATTTCACCTTCGTCCTAACATATAGGTGAGCTTACGGGGCTCAAACCAGAGTGTTGCTAACACTGACCCTAGCAAGAGCAGTGCAGAGCACTGAGAAGATCCGGCGAGAAACTCAGTGGGCTGTGTCTGTGGGTTAATTCGCTCGTCGAGTCCTTCGTCGCAAGTGACGGGTTCGACGAGGACGGTGACTGGTGCTTGTGTTACCTAAAAGCGCCGTTAATGGATCGGGGGGATCCGTAATGACGTGTTTTGGGCGACGTCGGCTTAAAAGCACTGAGGGTGAATGCGGGGTATCCGCAAGACATATTTAGGGCGACGGCGGCTTTGTGTTGCCCCGTTGCGGTCGGACAATAGACGTCATCACTGTGCCTATTTCTCCCGCGAATCATCATACTTTCCGCTTTGAAAGGTGGGACTGCCGTAATACTATTAATACAATGAGAACTAATAAATTAAGTAACTGTTTAAAACACGTGACCGCACATCGTGAACCGAAAATTGAAAATCCAATGCCCCTGAGGATTTCTTAAATATGTCTAAATAGTTTTTTGCAGAAGTATTACCATAGGTGTAAGACTATATGATAGCGGCATTAAAAATAGCTAATGCGTGTTGTTTTGTATAAAATAAGTATCAAGTAGCTATAGATATCGTCAATATATCGACTATCATGAGATTCCTGGTGATGTGTATGAAAATAGCTTTACAAGAGAATCGTAAAGGACAATGCCCATTTGTGCCCCAGAAACGCCTAGTTAAAGTATATTACAAAATTGCTCTAATAAATAAGAACTAGAATTTTGTTGTTAATTTTAAATCATATGAAGCACTGGATAAAAAAGTTAAAAAAATAAGACTTCATAATGACATTGCAGTACGTATCATCGTTATCATTAATTCATGCTTTATTTATTACGGTCTGGTTGACACTATACAATGGAGACAGACTAGATATTTCCAATAACTGACATGTTTATTTGATAGCATACAGATAAGTATTTAAAAGAACACTGATCTGGCTTAGCTTATGTGATGATCATGAAGTTCCTAGTGAAAAACTAATAGCAATGTTGTCTGTAAGCGATAAAATGTATAAAAAACCAGTAGGAAGTTATCATCATATTAATTTACAATATCTTTTGAACCTGTGCTTTATATAACATTAAATCTAGATATAATATAAATACTGTTAAATTGTAATCTAATTGTAATACATTGATTATTGAAAGTTCTGGAGAGCCACTGATCATGTGGTGGCTTATCTTCCAAAACGTAAAGACAAGAGGTCTGGAGGAAATCACCGAAATTCCACTTTTGCGTTAGGGGCGTCAAACGAGGTTTTTTATGTTTGGGGGATTACTGGTTGCCCGGAGGCCTTTCCAGTTCAACCGGGACAGATGGACGAGTAAAGGCTCAGCCAGGAAGGGTAGGATTTGCTAACAGCTGCCCGGAGCTGCTCCAAGGAGACCCCAACGGACTCATGCATGCATGCACGTCGAACCCTTTGCCGAGTTCGGTGAGTACGGTCACTGGGGTCTCTAAGCCTGCAATAGTTATTGTATTTGATGGATCCATAAGGACGGGTCTAGGGCGTCGATGGTGATTGGCTCCTCCATGAGCAGGATTCGGGGAGTAGTCAGCGGCGGCAACGATAAGGCGATTATAATACGCCTTATCGAAGTAGCTTTTCGACGCTGACTTCACGTGTTTTCGGATCGATTCGAGAGCAACGTCATCGTGTAAGTCGACGTTCCTCACGAACCGCGGAGCTCCTACTCTGAATTCGAATTCTGCACGAATCACTCATGCTTACAACAGATGCACCGCCTTACGGAGCACATTCTCGTAACCTTAACATATGCTTAACTGACCAAAATCGTTCTATACGGGAGTTCTCTTCTTCGAAATCGCAAAAGTGTTCAACAAAGTTTTGCACAGCTGTTCACAGGGGGAATTCAAACTGTATCTCCTCCCGCATTAGGCGAAACCTCACTCCCTCAATCACCCTCTTCGACCAATCAATACCCTGGGACCGGAAGGTCAAGTACCTGGGAGTCATCCTGGATGTGTCGATGACATTCCGTCCGCACATAAAATCTATCCGCGATCGCGCCGCGTTTATTCTCGACAGACTTTGTCCTATGATTTGTAAGCGGAGTACAATGTCCCTTCGGAATAAAGTGACACTTTACAAAACTTGTATACGACCCGTCATGACATACACGAGTGTGGTTTTCGCTCACGCGGCCTGCACACACATAGACACCCTCCAAACCCTCCAATCATGTTTTTGCGGGTTAGCCGTCGTTGCACTGTGGTTCGTAAGAAACGTCGCCAAAGACGACCTGTACGCTTTGTGCGAGTTTTTTAACTTCTCGATCGCGTAAAAGTTAACTCAAATTTGTATGAAGTAGGAACAGCGTTCCTAGCGGCAAACGTATGGGCGCTGTTGGGAAGTTAAAAAACTCGCAATAAACATACTGGGCCTCGAATCGACCCGGAAACGCATGAAGTCAGCGTCGGAATGGTACTTCGATAAGGCTATGCGTCATCGTAATACGATATATATCTACATACATACGAATACAGCGGTCCTATTCTGTAGACTAGTGGTGCACTAACTTTTTTCGACTACTACTACCCTTTCAGTAGAGAGAAAAAATTTGGCGACCCCTAGACAAATACGATACATATTTTGCGCATTTATTTCGATTTCGTTGAATAAAAACATCATTATGTCTAATTAAAACATATTAATTTTATCAGAACCGGGAGAGAGTGGTATATTGCGAGCTAAGATCCAAGATCCCTATACCCCAACAATTCTCTGGCAGACCTCACAATGGTCGAGACCCCTAGTTAGTGCACCACTACTGTGGACTATGACGACTTCAGAATCTGTTGCATAGTGGTTACCGGTGTAGATATCACAAAATATAGAGGGGTCTGCCCCGAAGCCCCGTAAGGGTCCACAACGACCCCGTCGATCACAAAATAGCGAAATTTGAACACACGGTTGCTTCACGACGGTAATAGTACTTCACATATGCCCGTTTTTTGAGTGCCAGTAATGAGTGTCCAAAGTAATTTTAAAACGCCTTTTATCAAACATAGAGTAAATCTTATACCTTTAAACGAGCAATTGAGTCGTCTATTATCAAAGGTGGCAATCTGTGCATTTGAACAAAAAAATGTTATTGATATGTCAATACAGATTGATTTGAATATAATCGTCTCCTTCAAAGAATACGGTTCAAAACCTGCATTAAATAAAGGTTAATACTTAACCTGTTACTTATCTAAGATGTCTTTCAGAAGAGTTTTGTGGCTGCCAATGGAATACAAAGTCAATAATTCGTTTTTCTGATTTACCAATAATTGTCCAAAAGTCACATTGCTGGCTTTGATACTAGTCGACTCAATTCTTGTATATATGTATATATATATATATATATATATATAATCTGAATCTCGGAAACGGCTCCAACGATTTTCATAAAATTTAGTATACAGGGGATTTCGGGGGCGATAAATCAATCTAGCTACGATTTATTTTCAGAAAATGTTGTTTTATTCGTGTTTTCAATAATCAACTCTTCCCGACATCTATTGTCGAATAATAATACTATTTTTCTTAATTGAGGGCAACTAACCGCTTTAAAGACACAACATGATGGCGTTATTTAAAAAAAAAAACGATCAAAGCTCAGTCATCATCTAGTGTTTTTAATAATGTAAATATTTCGATGATGATGATAAGGAGTTTGAGAAGAATATTCGAATCTCGTACCTGCAGTAGCAGCGCACAGTAACAGCGCACACTTAACCAGTCCGTACATTTTCACGATCTGCAACTGAATTCAAATTAGATCCAATTTATATTATCAAATTTTATCTAAGATTACATCTTTCGCGGAACGTTTAATCCATATTTGATAGCACGTAAAACTAACAATAAATCTGTCAGATATCGATTCCATGCTTCCTTTCAATTCGCACCGTGTATAGGCATTCAATTCAATAACAATTTGTTAATATGCACATCGATGATAAGTGTCTAATAGTCGATATGAGCGTTTAATTAGCTTTATCGGTGTTTTGTTTATTTCCAATTAAAGTATTTGTTACTCCAAAACGAGGCTAGATAAGATTTAATTTTTCATTTGTATTTTCCAATTTTTCATTTTCCGGACGGATGAAATTTGTATTACAATGATAGAATGTGGAGATAAGCCCTAAAAAATATATTTTTATCACAATCAGTACTTTTGTTTATGATCTGAGTTAAAATGTTTTTAAGCATTAAAATTATAGATTAAACTATATATTATTAAACATCATACGCCTTTGGAAGTCACAAGAATCAAGACAACTGATTGGTTCAATTTAGACGCGGTAGTGTACCTATATTGAAAGGTGTTACAAGAAAAATAAGTTGAAATGGGCTTAGAGAGAAAATAGAAAAGGGCTTACTAAAAAAAACTGCATAGATTATATTTTTTACCTTATCACTGATTCTCAAGTTACCTTCCGGCCTGTTTGGGTGAGACATTTATATTATGGTACGTAATGGGATTTTTACCTAATGTCAAGGTGAGCCTTCCTGTTGTTTTTTTTTTATTGCTTAGGTTGGAGTTGGTAGGAGTGGACGAGCTCACAGCCCACCTGGTGTTAAGTGGTTACTGGAGCCCATAGACATCTACAACGTAAATACGCCATCCACCTTGAGATATAAGTTCTAAGGACTCAAGTATAGTTACAACGGCTGCCCTACCCTTCAAACCGAAACGCATTACTGCTTCACGGTAGAAATAGGCAGGGTGGTGGTACCTACCCGTGCGGGCTCACAAGAGGTCCTACCACCAGTAAAACGGCCCACTTAGTGTTAAGTGGTTACCGGAGCCCATAAACATCTAGAACGTAAATGCCGCTACCTACCTTGAGATATGATTTCCAAGTTCTTTGATTTTACTACAAAATGTTATTGCTTCACCGTGGAAGTTAATCGTAACATTTCTTATGTATGTATTTCATTAGAAAAATTGGCACCCGCCTACGGGTTTCGAACACCGTTGGCATCACTACATACGAATGCACCGGACGTTTAATCCTTTAGGCCATGACGTCTTAAGCAAATCGTGCCAGGGATACCCATGCACTTGCTGAAAATCCTTATTATACAATGTTTTTTAAATAAAATTGTAGCAATAAAATCGCTTGAACAGAGGTAATTTTAATCAAATCAGAAATAACGTTTTAAATTCTGCGAATGTATAATTATCATATTAGGTTTTTTTAATAATCATGATTTTTAATTTAAAGTGAGATTTAATCATACTTAGATTCCGACATTCGATATCGATAAGTATCAGTAACACTTACCTACTGTATCAACTTATTGTTTTCAATTTCCCCGGTTTTTATTTGTTTTCTATTTTCCTAGTAGGCAGACGAGCAACGGCCCACCTGATGATCAGTGGTTACCATCGCCCATGAATGCCAGCAAAGCTAGGGGCTTAGCCAACCTGCTGCCTACTGTTAAGTACTCTCCACAAGCCTCTTATTCATAAGATACAGTTTTGCAACCTTGGTCTCATCAAAAAGAATTTTTTTTCATTAACAGTTGGTAGTATTGTCATAGTTATTATTTATATCATAAGTAAAAGCTTCATAATAAAATTATATCTTTATGATCGCAATAAAAGGGGCTACTACTGTATATAACTATATCACTACCGATTTCTTGACAAGATAATATCCATACCTAAATCACTACACTGACATATTCATTTCTCGTGATATAACTATATTATTCTATAGCTATCGTAAAAAAAATTATTAACAATAAATTACTATCATCGAGGCCTAAAGCTTAAACGAAAGAGGTATCATTGAATCCATCAGTGATTTAAAACATTCTGAGAAAATACGTACTTAGCACGTGCTCACTAGGCTTGTATTACCGTCCAGCTATTTCAACTAAGAAGCAATTTACGGTCCGGTTTGACACTGTCGTTGTTGATCGATTTTTTTTTTGAACGGAAGGGTACCCAACCGAAAAAAAACGTCCGTAACGTAAGATTTTTTCTATTTAGTTTGTTATCAACAGATGTCGCTGCACGCAAATTCAACAATTCCTGAATCGCGGTGTCGAGATGTTACACAATTGATAGACGTTCTCATATTTCTCTTGCTAAATTATCCATCAGTAAGTATCTGCAGTCGGCGTCGATGCGACACTTCGATAAAGCGGCACGACACGAGAACCCTCTCATCGTGGCCACCGGTAACTACATTCCCGATCCTGCGGACAGAATGGAAGCAGTCGACGTCGCACCAAACACGTCATTTCGGATCCTCCCGATCCACTAACGGTGCTTTTAGATACTTTAAGCACCCGTCATCGTTCTCGTCGAACCCGTCGCTTGCGACGAAGGGCTCGACGAGTAAATTAACCCTCAGACACAGCCCACTGAGTTTCTCGCCGGATCTTCTCAGTCGGTCGAGTTTCCGATCCGGTGGTAGATTCTGTGAAGCACGGCTCTTGCTAGGGTTCGTGTTAGCAACGTCGTCAGGTTTGAGCCCCTTTTTTTGTCGGGCCGGGGGCCGAACCTCCTACGAGGTCCCCGCGTATAAGGGGCGCACGGGGTATGTGAGACTGTCGGACTTCGTTCTTATCCGGTGTCCCACGACACCGCTCATCTTTTTTTCGTAGGGCGAACCTATGGTCTGGACTGCCACCAGCCACCTTGACATAATATGACATTTATAAATTTTAATAAAAAAGATAAAATAAAAAAGCCTGTATTTCCTTATCCTTAATTTCGCCTTGAAATTTAAGGTCTTAATATTTTATAACAGTCTGGTTTTTGAAATGTATTACGCAAACCTCTTTTGCTGTTTTCAACTGCATAGACACAGTAACAAGAGCCAGTTAACACTTGTTGTCATTTAAAATAATAAAATAGACTATAAAGTTTTATCGGACCAATAAATGGGAATTATGATTTTTACTGATTCCTTATCAATAACCAAGGATTGTCTGATAACATCAATTAAAAGTATTTCAGTTACGCGTTGCATATTACCGAACATGTGAATTTTTATTGTAATCTCATATTTTTACGCTCGAATCATCTGTACCCAAATATAGAGATTTATATCTTCATCACGAATTATGCCATTACCGTGATTTGGATCAAGCTTTTTTTTTTTATATTAAGGTTTTTTTATTGCCTACCCATCTAGGCACGAGCTCACGGCCCACCTGGTGTTAAATAGTTACTGGAGCCCATAGATATCTACAGCGTAAATACGCCACCCACCTTGAGATATAAGTTCTAAGATCTCAGTATAGGCAACAACACGCTGCCTATACAACGGCTGCCACACCCTTCAAACTGAAACGCATTACTGCTTCACGGCAGAAATAGGTGGGGTGGTGGTACCTATCCGTGCAGACTCACTAGAGGCCCTATCACCAGTAAAAGATACCAGTGTAGATACTCGATTTGTCCTTGCAGTGGGCAGCGCCTTGGCTCTACCCCTGGTATTGCTGACTTCCATGATCGATGGTAACCACTCACAAACAGGTGGGCCGTATGCTCGTCTGCCTACAAGGCCATTAAAAAAGCGTTACACGAAGTACTTCTACGATGAAAGAATAACTAGAAGATGTAACTATACTTGAGACCTTAGAACTTATATCCCAAGGTGTGTGGCGCATTAACGTTGTAGATGTCTATTGGCTCTAGTAATCATTTGACACCAGGTGGGCTGCGAGCTCGTCCACCCATCTGAGCAATAAAAAAAAATGTCGTGTAATCAAAACCAAACTTGCCAATGATTATTGAGTAGAGTAGTTATTGAGTAAATTTGAGTAAAGTAGTAAACAAATGCAGTGCATTCTGAACTCGAAAGTTAAAGTGACATTGGCTGTTGAAGCCGCCAACGCATTCCGCTTATGCCTTTTAGTTTCAAATCACTTATTTCGGTAATTATTTAACATTAAATTGGCTTAGAGAGTGTCACTATGCATGGAATCTTTGAAAAATATTTACTTAATACTGTCTACTGTTTAATGATACTTAACTGTAGATAATTTTAATATAATATTTTCAATAAAGTCGATTTGTAGCTTTTTCATCCTTGTAACATCGTAAAAGACCACGTGCTCCTAAGCTTGAACATTATTAGAAAATAAGGTCCGGTTTATTGATAGTCATGAAACGCAGGAGTTAAAAACATGGAACGCATCAAAATACTATAGGATCGTCCAGAATAAAAAAAAAAGATATAATCATTGGGACTTCCGCAGGTAGATTAGATATAAAATTTAATCTTTCGACGTCACTAAAACATGCTTTAGTTACAGTTTTGAATTTAACGCAGCAACAAACACATAGTAAGGCCATTAGAACACAAAAGTAAAGAAAGTAAAGATTCTTGTACATCATTTGTACTCTTAACATTAAATGTGAGGTACTTCTTCCATTGACCAAGTATGCCTCCAACTGAAAATATTCTCCAGTAGCGGAATGTCAGGTGTAATAATTTTTTTTCTCTTTATTTTTGCTATGATGGCTGGACAATCTCACGGCCCACCTGGTGTTAAGTAGTTATCAGAGCCCATAGACATCAAACAGCCGCCACCGATTTTGAAACATGAGTTCCAAGTCCGAGTTTCACAGTACAACGGCTACCCCATCTTTCAACCTTCTGCCCCGAAACGCATTAATGATTCACCGCAGAAATAAGCAGGATGATGGTACCTATCCGTGCGGGCCGTCTTCCGCGTGGTTCGTTCTTCAAATCAAAATTTTCTGGAGGTAGTGGAATTTAGGTTATAATATCTGTGAATTTCGGTACGTTAACCACTTAACGCTTGAGTGGAGTTGGTTTTCATAGACAGCCCAATCAGTTTTTCGGCGAATCTCCTCAGTGCTTCACGATTCCGATCTGATGGTAGATTTAACGAAGCACTGCTCTAGCTATGGTCAGTGTTAGCAATTCTCTCAGGTTAAGCCTGCGAGCTCACTTACCGGTCCGCGCCTAGATGGACTAGCCTCTTAGGATACCATTAGGTAGGGAAAAAGGAGTGGGCTATATGCGCGTCTGCCTACAATGGCAATAAATAATAAATGCTATAAGTATTTGTTTTAAAAAATTTGGAACTGTCTGCATAATTTGAACCGCGGCGTAATTTCACCACTCGACACGAGGGCACTTAGCTTCTTACTCATTAGATTACATTTTGTTCAAGACCTTAAATCTCTGGTCAACTTTTACACGCTTTCTACAGTTTTTACTGAGTTTTATCAAGTACTTTCTAATTTTGAAGATTCATAGAGGATAATAAAAAGTGGAACTCGTTACTAAAGCTATATTTTATTTCTTAGAATAAATTTTCTTATTAATGCAGTCTTACACAATAAATAGGATTTTGTGAAAACGTAAAAAATATAGGCAAGTGAACATAGGAATTGCCCTTTGTACTAAAACGAGGTTCTTTTAAATCTATCACAGTTGATTTGGATGCTTAAAGTATTTAGACTGTCTGTTTTGAGATTCAGCGGAGTTATCCGGTTTTACTGTAGAAGATGGTGCTGCAGGGGTGCTGTTCCCTTTGTTGGGATTCAAGAATGTGTCTAAGAAAGCGATTCCATCTTCGAGTGTCTGTACGATGTTTTGATAGACGCTCTCTTGTTCAGTTTCAGCCGCTTCTGTTTCAGTTTCTTCATCTTCCTCTTCGGTTTCCTTATTCCTGTAAAATATAATTTCCAAAATAAAGTTCACATATTTTTTATTATATTTATTTCGAAGACAATTATAGAGGTTGCACTCACGTGTCTATTTCGGCAGGTTGAGGCAACATCTCCATTCCTTGTGGTGTTGATTTGAAACAGCCAATCGGAAACTGTATTTGCGGAACCAAAAATATCCTGGGCTCTAACTCTAAGCATCCTCGAATGCCTTCAGAAGTAGGTGCCAGCTCACTAAATTTAGCGCAGACTTCTGCTAATTTATCGAATACTTGGAGACAAATCGGTTCTGGGTTGCTCCCTATAAAAATATGAATATGATGAAATAATCATGAACAAATATCCAATAAACGCAAATGGCAAATTAGTTTGAAAAATATATTGTAATCGAAAAATGTGATGGTTTACCTTGAATTTTACTGCTGTGTATTAGGTTTTTGCCGTAAGATATCTTAACCATGAACCCTTCATCTGGCGAAACATATTTCATGTGGACACAACCTGAAAAATAAATTTATTTTTACTGCCTCATTAAAATGTGTCTAAAACAAAGACCAGTAACTGGTTCTACTACACACAATGCGAGCGCGTGTTGAGGCAGTGATGTTTTAGATGCTACAGGACAATTACCACCACATGTGATTATTTCATCACAGAATCCAGGATAATGTTGGTGCCATAAATACAAGCTACGGTATGAAAGTAAATTGTGTTTATAATTACTATTCTACTTAATTATGCAGGAAATTTTACAGAAATACAATACCTGGTCCACCCACGTCAACGAATGTCATATTAAAATTAACACAGCAAACGCAGGCTTGTCCCTTGCACAAACAGTTTCTACTAGACTCGTCATTGCGTTGTTCCGGTACGTCGATTAGAAATTGCCCTGCAAAATTTATGGTGTGAGGTTTCTATTTCAGATGTTTAAAGATGAAAAAAAAAATAGATAGGAAAATGGTGTGGTATGGTTAGATAGGAAACGTGTTAAAATCTATTCTATAATTATTACTATACTAATTAATCACTTTATATATTGTATTATATTGAATTATATATTATATAGTCATACAGTATACAGACTTTAGGCCGCTGGTCTTTTTGCATGAGCATGCTAAGCTTTGTGATCTTAGCCGATTCGTAAGTGGATGTAATTTTTAGTGATGATGAAAATATGGTTCAGAAAAAAATACCGTTTCCGGAAACATCTAAGTAGCTTATGTTAGGAAAAGTTAAAGATAGAAGAAAACCTAAAGTAGTTTTGATCTAATAATTACGGGCACTATTGGATCAAAACTACTTCACCGGCATGTACAGTGGCTAATTAATTAATCGTGACTGCGAACTGGCAAGTAATAGGAAGGAAAAAAACTAGAATCCAAGAATCCGTATTTTCAAGATTAGAAAGTTAGAAATATTGCACAAAGAAAATATGTACGTAAGAAAATAAATAAATACTAGTTTGTAAAAACAAAATAATAAGTTAAATTATAATATAAATTATAATGCAAGTCATCGGATCGTTTTTGATGTTTGAAATTAAAAAAAAATACAAATTCAACATTCGTATGTAAATCTGTCCAGTTTTTGTATATTCGATGTTTCGTTTAGAAACTTTCTCGTGTGCCGCGTTTCTACTTTCACTGCTCAGATACCTGCCATGTTCTCCAGTTCATTGTACTTTGTAACCAAATTTAGTGGTCTGAGTTGTTATAGTTGGTTGGCACAACGACAGGCCTTTTAAAATTGGTATTCGCGTTTGTGGTTGTCTTTGTATATTGTTATGTAAGAGAAATTTGGACTCGCAGTTAAATAATCATAAGTGAAATGTATAGTGGAACTTTCGTAACTGTAATGTAATCGAGTAGTAATCTTGTAGCTGAGTCGAACATTCTGGAAAATTTGAGTTTTAATACAAAGAACAACAGATCTTTATGTATTATTTTTCTCAATCAATAAAATACATACATTACTTCTGAAGAGGGTTTTTAGTTTAATATTTATGTATTTGTTACTTCAACAGTTCCAAATATCACTCTTTTAAACTGAAATAATTATAATAGCATTTCAGGATTTTGATAATACATATTTTGTTGAAATTTTTCATTATATACACAAAAAAAGAACTTAATTATTAAATCATGTTTGTATTATGTTAATTTGATTTTGTGTATTATTCTATATGTACATTCGTAATAACGTGTACAAAACGACTGATGAGCTCGCGGAAGTGTATTATTTGTGCGTTACTAGCGACCTGCTCTCGCTTCGCTTCGGAAACTGTAATTTATTATTGATTTCTCCACTATTTAATGGATGTTATTATACATATAAACCTTCCTCTTCAATCACTCTATCTATTAAAACCGCATCAAAATCCGTTGCGTAGTTTTAAAGATTTAAGCATACATAGGAATAGATATAGGGACAGAGAAAGCGACTTTGTTTTATACTATGTAGTGACAATACATTTAAACTTCCTTTTTTATGTGTTCCATAATTTTATTTAAATTTCATAATTATTGGACCGTGCTCATTTAAGCGTCAACCGGCTTTCTCTAACTGTTTGATGGTTACATATTTGTTTTGTATTAGGTACTTACCTAATAGGCCCATGGCGTTTGCCGTCGTGACAATCACGAATAGCACCGAAAGCACCACTTTGACCGACATATTGACGTTGTCACCAATCGAGAACGAAATAAGATTTGAATTTTAAAATTCACAATTTATAATGAAGGACAGATATCGTTGCTTTTGCGAGGAATGTTCGAATGAGGCGACCGTCGCCACAGCCGAGCCTACACTGCTCCTTTCCTAAGATCTCGCCACCGCAGTTTCACCTCTCACAATAGAAGGTGAAATTTAACTAAAGCATCGTATTAAAATGATATGCACCACCGAAATGCATTGAGAAAGCGACTGGGGTGGGCTTTTATTACGATTTTAATATTTGATTTTCAGTCATCGAATTCAAATAGAAGGTAAATGTATATGTGCATCGGTTTATTTTGATTAGTTTGGGAGGTCCGTGAATGGTGCTTGAAAACTAGTCGGCTGACTTTCTCTCGTGGATAACAGCGGCTACTGATTTATAAGGAAATTGTGAGTGTGGTTTTGTGGGCTTGATATTTTCCGGAACTTTCGAGAAGATTATTAATGAGGATAAAACACCAAGGGTTTTAAATTTATTTGTTTTTATTTTCTGTATTTTATAAGTTTTCTTTAAACTGAAATTACTGATTTTTTTGTTATTTACAACAAAATCGTAATGCGTACTTAAACGCATACCTACTTTCAAAGATAATTTCTATTCATCGTAAAGTTTAAAATGTTTTATCATTGTTTTTTTTTTGTATTAATGTTAATACGGATAAGGAGGATGCTGTACTTTCAATATATGTAATTCGGTGTATACATTTAAAATTGCGTACGTAGGACATGATGAAAGCTGTAATACGTTTTTCCGCCTTCGTAGAAAGCTGTCTGACCCACAGATAGACTTGATTTGTGCAGCTAAGTGCACCATCGGACCAGTGCCCCACTTTTGGATCACTTTACTTCGATAGTCTTAGGTCACGAACAGAGTTGCAGGTGCTGTTTGAGTAAAGTATATTTTTATAATTATAAGACAAGATTTGTCGAAAAGTGCGTTCATAGTTTGGAGCGTGAGTGTGTGTGTGTTTGTGTTAGTTTTTATTAATTGCTTAGTTGGTTGTCAGTTTCTCGCCGGATCTTCTCAGTGGGTCGCGTTTCCGATCCGATGGTAGATTCTGCGAAGAATTGCTCTTGCCAGGGCCAGTGTTAATAACACTCCCGCTTTGAGCCTCGTGAGCTAACCTACCCGAGACTTCACTTCAAGGAGAAGCTGAAATAGCCTCTCAAGGCTATTATCAGCATAGGTATAAAAAAAATATCCCGCAGACCATCACTTCGTGTCAGAGTGGTGTGAACAATTTGTAATAACGTATCTGTAGAGGCACTGCTTCGATACATTTTTCATACGATTGTTTGATAAGTACACCATAAGTCTGTCAGGATAGACTGAGGTTTTGTTTTTTTTTTATTGCCTAGATTTGTGGACGAGCTCACAGCCCACCTGGTGTTAAGTGGTTACTGGACCCCATAGACTTCTACAACGTAAATGCGCCACCCACTTTGAGATATAAGTTCTAAGGTCTCAAGTATAGTTACAACGGCTGCACGCATTACTGCGTTTCGGTTTGAAGGGTGGGGCTTCGCGGCAGAAATAGGCAGGGTGGTGGTACCTATCCGCGCGGACTCACTAGAGGGTCTTACCGCCAGTAAAATGGACATGACAGGATATTACGACAAGAATTCGAGGTTTAATAATACTACTAATATTACTCGTACTATCTACTATAGAATCTACCATATATATCTACTATATATATATATATCTACTATAGATACAGAAAATAAATTATCCATATATTTTTTTACAAGACTAAAATATTACGAAGCTTAATTAAGCAGGTAAATATATTAAATAAACATTAATATTTTAATGGACAGAAATCATCGAGCACTTACTTTCTCCTTGTGAAAGTGACCATGTCGCCGCCGGCGCCCAACCGGGAGTTTGACGATTCTAGTGACGCTTATGCAAATTGGCTAGTACCATTAAAATATTAAAATTTCAATTTGTGTTTTTTTTATAAATTAAGTGTTAATCGTATTGAATTATTAATTAACTAGAACGTGGGCATACTACATTCATTCATAAAAAATAATTGTTATAGAATCGTTGCTCACAATAGACGCTGCTTTCAGTATAGGCCTATAACAGTTTCAAAAGTAGTTCATATTCCTTTATACGTACGTATTGATTTTATATGAATGGAAAATCTCGTTTTTAAGAACCAGTAGAGTCTTTGAAGTTTTTTGGTTCAATGATATAAGCTGTTTTATCATTTAAAAAATAACTTTGTTCGTATTTTTCAAATACGGCATTATTTCTATTTTGTTTTGCTATCCAAAGCTCATTCCGAAGGAATCACCGGTTTTTAAAACCAATAAATTTATTTTCATCAGGGTTCGCGTGTATCATTATTTGGAGTTATGCTTGACAGCCTTGCCATCTTAGTATCATTTTAATTAAATTATAGCAACATTTGCAAAGCTTTAACACAATTTTACCAAATGCCTCATAAACTACACATTCATAAACACTGTTCTCCACTTATGAAATTTAAGAAAATTCTGGTATGCAACGTCAATAGATTTACCTAAATGTTTGTGTATATTTTATTTATATATGTATTATATTTGTGTATGTATATAATATGTATTTTGATTACAAAAATAGTTTTATCAACCGTCTCAATTCAAACGAATGCACTTTGGGTTAGCTTCTATAACGCCGCAACCAGATAAACAATATACAAGGTTAAAGCCGCTTTCATACTGCGCTATAATATAATAGTATATAGTATATAGACCATAGCACAACAATATTGCACACCATACATTGTTATGGACACGTTCACACTGTAACGTACTATATATTATGATATTGGCTAAATATAGGCTGTTGTACTATATGGCACTATAGTATAGCGTAGTCTGAAAGCAGCTTTAAAACTTCTAGTCAACGGGCCGCAGTGTGTGTGTGTGTGTGTGTGTGTGTATGTGTGAAAGAGACAGTGAATCCCGTAAATATGTCATGTTTCATTCCTTTAGAAATATCTTTTTCCTTAATAAAAAAAAGGTTGACAGCATGCCAATTCGCTGTTCCCAGACAGTATCTCAGATCAACGTCCTGTTTCTTTTTTTTTGATTCTAGAATATTCGGAGAGCATGTTTCAAGTAAAACTTACATATTTGTTTACGTAATATTAGGTATTATTTGCATTTAAGAAGGATATCAGATTGAAGTATTTGAAGTATACGAAACGAGAAGAATAATGTGTTTTTTTTACGGATTCTACATTCTATTTTAAAATCAGAGTTGTTGTTATAACAGTTAACTGCTATTAGAATTTATTTAGTACATCCTGTTTAAAATGCGTCGTCAAATCCATGTGTGTTCTTAATGAAACTTCATATGCTCAACTTGACACTAAATTCTACATATTCGCCCAACTGAGCGCGCTTTCTTCTCTTTCTTTTACGTAACGAGCGAAAGAGACTTCCGTTAGACAGTTTTCCTTTCTCGATGTTATACGTCAGCGAACATTTCTCCGGTCGGGAGTCGGTGTGCTTGTATCAAATCAGTGTTGGTGTAACGAAGTTGTCGTCTGCGTTTTTATCGGTTTTAATTCTAATAATTACGACCGCGACACTAACGTGCTCTACAACTAGTTCCTAAGGAAACTTTATCGAGGGAAATTTTGAGCTAAGGTAAACCGATTCCAGTGTATTTTTATTTTTACGTAGACTTTATTTTAATTCAATAATTTTTGTAATAAGTTCTTTTTGTGCTGTCTCCAATATTGATAATATAGAGTGTAATGAAATAATCGCTTTCATTATTAATCTTACGATTTTAATGTAAAGGCATTGCCTAGTGTAAAAGATATCAACGCACAGAAAACTATGTGTCGTTAAAATGCAGTGATGTTATGGTACTGATTATGATTTTTTATTGAACGTGGTTGGGTTGAGTTCGAAGATTGTCCGGTGTTAAGCGATTATCGGAATCGACAAGCATTTTGAGACGTGAGGTCGATTTTGTAATCAACCAATTGTGGGCATTCAATGTATAACTATTTCGGGACAGAAACGGGCCTTGCATAACATAGGTAGAAGTTACGTGCGTCACTTTTCTTGTACGAACTCATCACACGTTTAGATAGATTTATTGATTTAAGAATTAAAATCTTTCCGATTGTGTTTCAGGCCAAGCCTCAGGGAGCCAAGCTTCACGATGAGGCTCTCCCTGGTTTTTGAATTACTTTTGATATTCGTGCTGCTAGCATTCGCAGCCTCGAAAAGTGTCAGTGAGTATAATAGTTTATAATTTATCTATTGATTGAAGGCAACTCGGAATAGCATGACAATGTCATTTTTTTAAATTTTTTTTAATGTCTTTGTAGGCAGATGAGCGTACGGCCCACCTGATGGTAAGTGGTCGCCGTCGCTCATGGACGTCAGCAATGCCAGGGGCAGAGCCAAGCCGCTGCCTACTATCTTGTATGCTTTCTCAGAATCTTGGCACTTCGACCTCATCTATTCTAATAGAAATCCGGATGAGTGCCGTGAGCCGTGTTAGAAACAAAAGAAAATCGCTTAAAAACATCCGGAATAATACAAAGCCGCTGAAAACAATTAATTTGTTAGCTATTGAAAAACACGTGAAAGTGGCCAGTATCGATGTATTTATTAGTGAAGTTTTTTTGCATCGCAAACCGTTGTCTAGCGTGCTGGCTCGCGCGTTATTGTGTCGGAAGTTTTTAGTGATTTGGATTAAAACACGTGTTTCATAGATATAATAAACTAGCGACCCGCCCTCGCTTTGCTTCGGAAACATTAAAACACATATTAAACAAAAAAATAAAAATATTAAAATAAAAATAAAAAAAGTGCCTATGTTCATCAGGGACAATGTCGGCTTCTAATGGAAAAATATTTTTTCAAATCGGTCCAGTAGCTTCGGAGCCTATTCGAAACAAACAAACAAACAAATCTTTCCTCTTTATAATATTAGTATAGAATAGATACTCGAGCAGTAATGAACATGTAACATTTAATTTTTATAAATAGAAAACGGTTGCGTTACGGCGCGGCGGATACTTATGCACGTTGAGTACATGAATTTGTAACTTGTATAGAGTTAATTATTTTCTAATTTGTCTTTTCTTATCTGTCAGTGTGCTCAGTGACCAAACTCAAAGGAAACTAAGCATTTGGAGTATTAAATTTTTTAAATACGTTTTTATTTAGCACTCACCTTTTATATTTAACAGAAAAACAAAACCAAAGGAAAAGCATTCAGAACAGAAACGACGAGGACAAACCCGATGATGATGGCATTAACAAGTATTGCAAGTGTTCCGAGGCATTTTGCAACTGTTGCCGGGATTTTTCCGTTCCGGTTATAAATTTAAATGGCCCAGGTATACTATGTCTTGTACGTCATGATAATCACCTTATCGTTGTCGCCGCTGACTACTCCCCGAATCCTGATCATGCAGGAGCCAGTCACCGTCGACGCCCTAGACACGTCCTTACGGATCCATCAGATTCAATAACCTTTGCATTAGACGTCTTCAGCGCTAACACTAGGAGTAGGCTTAGGAATCCCGGTAACCGTACTCGTCGAAATCGACAAAGAGGTCGACGCGCAACCTAACCCATGCATCAGTCCGCTGAGTTTCTCGCCGGATCTTCTCAGCGGGTCGCGATTCCGATCCGGTAGTAGATTCATTCGCGAAGCAATTGCTCTTGAGTTGTTAGGTCTCCTTCGGAGGCGCTCGGACAGTTGTTAGCAAATCCCACCCCTCCTGGTTGAGCCTTTGCTCGCCCACATGTCCTGGTGAAACTGGAAAGGCCTCCGGGCCACCAGTAATCTATCAATCATAAAAAAAAAAGTCTTGTAGTTTTCATTTTATCATACATCACGCTATTCACGTAATTTTCTTTTAAAAAAAAGTATTATAAATAAATAAGTAAAATAAGTAGAATACATTTTGATCAATTAAAATACAATTGACAATTAAAATTGTAGTTTGATCTAATGTAATTAAATACGACCATTTGTAAAGCTAACAAAAACGAATGCGTATAAAAGTTGAATTTGAAAAAAAGTAGCGTTTGACGAAACGCAAATTACGATAGGTATATGGAGTTTAGGTGTAAGTGACCCTAATAATAATATAAACCTTTACTCCAAAGATAAATTACAAAAAAAATATGAATAATAACGCGGCTTGGAAAGGGTTACTAGCTCAGCAATCTCTAACGCAATCGGTATTGCGGTGACCTCAAGAACTACAAATGTTTACTCTTTTGCAATTATAATATATGATATTATGATACATTTTCTACTTTTTTGTATGCAAATAATAAAAGCCACTTACCAAATTTCGAATAAACTTTTGGCGTTTAAAAGTTTTAAGCACTTAATTGTATTGCAGGATGTGCGACTTTAATGTATCTGAATGGCGATAAAATGTCGGTATCTCTGAGCTTCGGTAAAAAGGTGATCACGAACAGAACTCTATCAAGTAAGTTTTTTTTAAATCGTATTTCAGTTACCAAAACCAAAGTTCGTGCTATCGAGAAATTATTCTACGTTGACCAAAAGTTAATCAAACTGTACAATTCAAAATATATTTAACTTTCTTTCAGGTCGCAAGCCGAGTCCTGTTTGCATGCCTTTACCTGGAGGCATATCAAAGTTCTGTGGACGAGTATATAATATTGCACGAGCTGGAGAAGAGTTTCGAGCGTGTTTAGGTCTAGAGCTGCAGGCAAAGAGTACTGTGGAGGCAGCAGTTAGAGTGTCATGCTTCAAGTTTGGGCCCCGTGGAGTGACGTCGGAGCCGGCAGATCCTCTTCCGCTTGTTCCTCAGGATGAAAAGGAGGACGATGATGACGATGATGATGACGACGACGACTTTGGTCTCAGTGCTGATGACGATGATGAAGAAGAAGACGATGATGATGATGATGATGAAGGTGCGTATGGAATATTTTTTTATCGTCATTTATTTTTACGTACTAGATAGATTTCACGTCCATCTGGTGTTAAGTGACTACTGGAGCCTATATCGTGAATGTTGCTATCCACCTTGAGACATGAGGTGAATGTATCAGTTGTATTCTAGCACTACTGACCATCATACCAGCGATATAGATTGACGCACCCTTAAAATCGGAAGCTATAATGCTTTGAAAACTAGCTCTGTTAGCTTACAATACATTTTACCAAACACTACTACTACACTGGGTCCTTGAAATTATTTGTAACTATACTTCGAATTGTAACTATAATTGAGATCTTAGAACTTAGAACTTATATCTCAAGGTGGGTAGAGCATTAACGTTGTAGATGTCTATGGGCTCCAGTAACCACTTAACACCAGGTGGGCTGTGAGCTCGTCTACCCATCTAAGCAAAACAAAAACAAAAAACACAAAAATACCGTTAAAATATTAGAATAATAATTTTTTTCTTGTTTTAGGCGAACTAGACGCCGTTAACGATGTAGAAAGTGCAGATTATACAGGGTTTAGTCTCTTGGGCGAAGACATTTTAGGTGATCTGTTTGGTTCCTCCGGTGGTAAAAAACCCAATAAAATTAAAAAGAAGCAAGCTCCTGCGGTTACTTCTACGACTTCGACAACTACGAGACGCCCTCGACCCTCTCGCCGCCCATCAAGAAGACCAACACGAACAACAACTCCTTTACCAATCAGATCCACTACTGTAAGAGTTCGCCCAGTCAACGGTAATCGCCGAACTACTCGCCGGCCCACTAGACGTCCAGGCAATGGAGGGCGTCCGCAAAGGCGGACAACCACTGAATCTACATCTACCTCAATATCCACAACTACAACATCAGCTCCAATAGCCATTGCATCCGATATACCTGTGGTTCAAACAACGGAGAACATAGCTATTATTAGCAGTATAAATACCGAAAAATATGAGCCTGTAGCTATCATAGATCAGAAAGCTGAGCCAACGATGAAAATAACTACCCCAAATAGTGTAACTGAGTTCATTCAAGATCCCAGTTTGGAGATGTCTTTAGCGCATATAACCGGTCAATTATCATCTATGCAAGTCACACCATTACAACCAAATAATGAAAAGGAGTCTAACTTACCGAAAATAGAGTCTGATATGAAATACGAAAAGGTAGAAACGCTCACTCCCAAAACTCCATCAACTGTTGCTTTTGATGTTACACCAGGAGAAGCTGTAAGCGATGATATGATACAGATAGTCCAAAGTCTCGATTCAAGTTCAGAAGAAATTTCACCCACAAAAGAATCAATAACTGCAGACGAAAGTCGAGGACACTTTTATAATTTTGGTTCTCATTATGAAGGCCTTACCTTACCCAAAAAGAAAAACAGAAATCCACAGTTTGCACTAGAGGATTTGGATGTTTTAGATCTAACTGAAATCGGTGAAAATATCGGTGATCAATTTGGTATATTTGGTGGCAAAAAGAGGCAGAATAAACTTAAGCCAAACAAACATCGTGACGGTAGAGACGATGATGAGTATGATGAAATGTTTGATGTCATTTCGCTTGATGCTTTAACGCGAAAATCTGATACAGGTAACAAAGATATTAAAAAAGATCGAAGAAGACAAAACAAAATGATGAGAGACTTATGGCCGGAGGCATGAAGTATTTCGGACTAGTTTAAGTAATAGATGTAATTATTAATTTATTTTTTTATTACCGCCCTTAATTTAAAATGTATGTTTCTAGCTGTGTAAATAGATTTTGTCTGATTTTATTTATTATGCATGTATGAGAATAAAGATATGCCTTCATTTTCTTAATTATTTTCTACTTTTGAAGTCTAGTCAATCGACTAACGGAGACCTATAGATTTTGTCATATCTTTACACTATAGCCATTTTATTTAGAAACTATTAGCACTATTTAGATGATAGGTGTAATTTGCAATACAATGGCGTATCCACCTTCTCGGCCCAGCTATTTAGTAGTTTGGTAAATTCATCTCTCAACTTTTATCTTGCCAAATACCCTGCCCAGTTCCTGCCATGTTTAGTTTTTAAGAATATCCTTGTTTTTGAACATTTTTCAGTTTCAAGATATTCTTTTAAATTGAACTTTTTCAGTGAGTATTCGATATTTACGTTATAGTTCCCTTTAATTCCAATTTTGTCCAACCAAGTAATTGTGATAAATTTTTTTGTTTTTGCTTTTTGTTTGCTTTGATGGGTGGACGAGCTCACAGCCCTCCTAGTGTTAAGTGCTTACTGGAGCCCATAGACATCTACAACGTAAATGCTCCACCCACCTTGAGATATAAATTCTAAGGTTTCAAGTATAGTTACAACGGCTGCCTCACCCTTCAAACCGAAAAGCATTACGGCTTCAGGGCAGAAATAGACAGGGTGGTGGTACCTACCCGCGCGGACTCACAAGAGGCCCTACCACCAATAAATTTATATACACATGTAATTGAGAGATTTAAAATATGTCGTCACCAATTGGCATTTGATTGATCGTTGGATAAGTATGATTTTTTAAATATAAATCAATAGGTTGAAATATATCTATGCTTGAAATTTAGCAAATCCTTCCCTCTCAGCGGAGTCCTCGAGCTCCGACCGACAGAAATCATTCCACCTACACAAAAAAAAAAAACCGGAAACTTTGCTATAGTTACATGTATTACGTAAACGAATAAATAATAATTAAATAAAGTTTAATTGGATTGCTAACAGGGTACTAATGTACTTAAGACGTTCGATGATACAAATGGAACTGGCATATAATTGCTCTTATTGAATCATATAGTTTAACATTGTACCTTTACGCAGATTAGGAGAGTAGTTGGCTTAATTGACAAGTTCTCCCGTGTACATATTTGTATCGTATAAGCAACACCAAATCGGTCGTAATAGCGAACCTCGGCAAAAGGCTGTTTATAATGAAGAAGATCCTTGGGTTGATCATGATGATGATTAATGCGTGTCGAGCTTAATAAAAGTACACGAATGACTTCCACAGTTAAAGAAGAACATAATGTAATAAAATATAACATAAGTTATTTAGGGACATCGGAACTGCTACTACATTTTATAAGCGAGCTTTCGGAACAGGTGAGCTACAAGTTAAAACTTAAAAGTTATTATGTTTATGGACGAGTACTTATCACGAAGTGGGCCGTGAGCTCTGATCTGTAGCAAAGAATAAGGACAAGGGAAATTTTCATATTATACATAAGTCTAATTATCTCGTGGCTTTGTTGTAAACACAGAATTACAAATGTGAAAACTACTACTCCTACTATTAAAAGGTCAAATTTGCAATAATACTTTTTGCAATTTTCTTAAAGAAATTTTCCTTAAATAACACAAAACAGATTTTACTGTCACAATACAATTCAATATTTGCTCCTGTTGATGAATAAATTAAATTTATTGATTATTTGTTATAAATAATATTTCTACACATGTATATTTCTAGCTATATCACCCATGAATTCCAGTCACGCATCAAGTAGCGAAAGTCATCGATTTCATTATCACTTTAAAGTAAACTTTCTCTTGCATTGACATTAAAATTTGAAACTTGTTCTGAACTGTACGCAGCACTATTGTATAGTTAGTACTGTTTAAATACTCTGTGTATGTATCTGTAATTTGTAGTGTACTGATCGTCGCATCAGAAATAATAAATCAAGGAACCATTAAATCGTTTCTGTTATTTCCATCATGACAAATGTCTTTAAAATAATGTATTTCCGTTTGTTTATTTTAATTTTATTTATCAAAGCTTATCAATGTGAGTATTTCTTATTAATTAATTAATTTTAAAATTTCAGTTCAAAGAATCAGAGAATAGTCTGATTCGCTCTTTGTTAGGCGTTACGGTGTATGCCGGCCATAGAAAAACGAATCCTCACATGACACTCCTGCCTACCATAGTATTGCTGTGTCTGTAATTTAATTGATTTAAAAGTTCCCAAGAGTCAAATTTATTTGCCATCTCCTAAATAGTTAGAAATTAATGCAATTCGTTATTATAGTTTCACCTTGAATTAAAGAAATAATTACTTACTGCCGCAAAAAGGGGGGTAGGTGTGTACAGCGATGAGCTCCATTATCAGGATCAACGTTTTTGGTAAACAGTCAAAGTGAATAAATTTACTAATAAATTATATTTATAATCTTCAGTCTAATATATCACGACGAGCTAATGCCTGATAGTAAATAATGCTATTTAAAAAAAAAGGGTTTTCGTGTTTTTTTCTCGTGTGATTCGTTTTTGATATTCCTCATTTCTTTTTAGGTGATATCGAATTTGATAAGGATAAAGAAAAAGATTACAATGAAATAAAATTCAAAATACCCAAGATTGTTTGGAAACAGGCTTTCGAGCCCACACCAATTCTTAGAAGTCCTATAACTATAGTGTTACCGATACACGTTCAACAAGATGATAATAATGAAATTGCTGATGAAACAGACGATATTGATACTGAAAATGTAGCTGTGGACTCAACCCTTGTTGAAGATTCACCAGCTGATCAAAATAACCCAGAACCTGTTGAAGACACTCCTGTATCAATAAGCTCTCTAAGCCCAGTGAGTACTGTCACACAAGCAACTGATGTTGAACCTGAACAAGAGGTAGTTGGGCAAGTGATTCGATTTCCATGCTCATGTATTTCTGGACAATGCGGTTGTTGTACTGGAGCTATACTTGAAAGATTCAAAATGAAGACCTGTGGTAATATTTCATTTGTACCTGAAGATTTTGTTTTCGACGTAAGGCTGAGTGTTAATAATAATACAGTGGTTCGACGCCGTGTATCAGGTAAATGCAGATGCAATACAAATATAAATGCTAGTTTTTTTTTAATTACAACAAAAATCACCTGCTTTATCGTTGTTGCAGCTAGTGATCCTCCACCTATTTGTTTTAATCCAAGAAGAGCACCTTTCGTCCGTGTTTGTGCAGAAATTTCAAATATTCGCATTAGAAACAGGAATGCGTTCGCTTGCCTTGAAATAAATGCTGATATTGGCGGGTTTACAATTTATTCAGCCTCATTTCGATGCTTTAGGTGGGTGACATTTGTTATAAAACACAAAAATTATATTTTCAACCGTAATTTTACGATTACGTTAAGCTTGCACCACGTTCTTACCCTTTTTGTACATTACACTGAAAATTTATTTTTTATTTTAGCCTTGGGTCTAAAGGTCTACAAACAGGTCTAAAACCTAAGCCTGTTTCATCAGGTCCTACTCCGGTTAGCTTATTTGGAAACAGTAACAACGAAGATGAAGGAGGTTTTCTAGAAAACGCAGCAGGAGCTGTTTTTGGTGGTGATGAAGGTGGTCTTTTTGGTGGTTCAGATGGATTATTTGGTGGTGGGAACGATGAAGGACCATTAGATGCTATCGGAGATGCCATAGGTGATTTTTTCGATGGACGAAAAATAGATTAGTTTATAGTTAGGTTTTTAATGTGTATCAATATCATGTTAAAGTTAATTTCATAATAAGTTTTAAATTTAAATGGAATTTTAATTTAATAGTAAGATCCTTCCTAAAATATACCATCCTGTTAAATATATCCTGTTGAATTGATTAAACTAGTTAATAAATTCTTAATCAGCAAGTAAAAATACAATTCAATAAACAAATTTATCACGTGAAAGTTTGTTTTCATGGAAGTTAAGCATCGCGTATGCGTGAACCGGTTCGAAACTTTGCTTGAGAATTCGAGATTCTGTGTTGAGTAGACGATAAGAGCGCGCGTACCTTCGCTTCGAGCTTTATAATGTTATACTTAACTATATTTTTTGGTATTATCAGTATAGCCATAGACACAGCAGAGACAGGTAAGAAAATATAATTTTATATACGACTATACAATAATTTTAATGCGTGCTCGAAAATATAAGATGCAACGTTCTCAAAAACTTTTTAGCAGTTTTAGAAGTTGAAAACAAGAACATTACTGAAAATGGAAGCATCGATCTGCTTAGAGCGGCAGTGCTTAAAAGCATTTTTCAGCATAATGGCACAGTCATTTTAAGAGGTCGACAAAATGTAAACGGGAGTTTAAGCGATTCACGACGTTGTTCCTGTGTTCTGGGTGTTTGCAAATGTTGTACTGGGTACATAATGGATTTATTGAATCAAAAAGCATGTATGAAAGTGACATATCATCCTGGAGACTTCGCGTTTGATGTTGCTATGTCAATGAATAATAGGATTCTGTATGAAAATTCTTTGTCAGGTAATTAATCAACATTTTACTAGTAACTAATTATGTAAAATATTTTATTACTATCATAATAAATTGGACGACATGAATCTATCGTGGACAAAAAATATCTTTATTCGCTTTATATGAATTTCAAAATTTTTAGGCAAAAATCCAAAACCTATTTGCATTCATCCTCCGAGGCTAACAAATTTGAGAGTGTGTGCAAAATTTTACAACGTTTTCTTCCCCGGAAGAAACTTTCACTTTTGTCTAGCGATGACAGGACAATGGAGGTCGGTCGAGCTCTTTAACATGGCGTTTGATTGCTTGAGGTAAGTCTGAATTTTTAAAGTCCGCCATATGAAGTAAAGCGCGTATATTTGAAGACTGTATTATGACCATGTTTTGCATAGATGACAAACTCATTAATTACAACTACATAATCAGAAAGCATTAAATAACTAATGACTGTAAGCACTAAGTTGTGATGACGGGAGTTACTCGTGATTTTGAATCATGGAATTGTAAATTGATTTACCAATATTTCAGAATGGGTGCAAACGGTTTAGCTATGGTAAAGCCTGATGAAAATGGAGGCATACCTATACCAGATCCTCATGGAGGTGTAGACGCCGTCATTGACGCAGGAGAAGATAACATCGAAGAATACGACGATAATGTAGTACGATCGCTCTTAGACGATTTATTTGATGATGATGACGATGAACGCTAAAACTTTACCAACGAGCTTTGTTAACAATAAGATTAAGACTCATCAAATGCTATTTATAATGATATTTTGGTAATAAACAATTGTGTTTTTCAATGTGTTAATAATTATTGAGTAATAAAGTTTAGTGAAATAATAGATTTCCATTGTCAACGTACAGTGGTGGTATGTAATATCGATTCGTTACGCAGGAGTTTCTCTAGAAAGTACCGCAAGTCAGTTGCGTCCGAACAACGCATACCTTGCATACAGATAATTTGTCACTTTGTATATTGACGTAGGTTTTCGGGGTACGGTCATTTGTATTGTGTCCCTAGAGGCGGAAACAAATCACTGTTTGGTCGGAACAGACTTTCGAACAGAAATGGAATGGAAAATGATAGTATTTTTACTTTTACCATGTTGTTTTCTTTTAATATCTGGTAAGTGTTTATCGATCATGATGTTATATTTTAAATTGGAATTTTGTTTGTGTCGCTAATTACGTTTCATAATGAATGAGTAAATTTCAAACTTAATAAAATTAATTTGTTCATTATAATCAGTAATATAATAATATTCCTATAATGTTTACAGGAAATACATTAAAAAAGAGTAGACAAATTTTCAAAAGCAGTAGAATAGATAATACAATGGAAGTATCCGATTTTTCAGTATACTACGATATTGACACTAATGAGGTAAACATTATTTAATTTTTTACTAATCTATTATGTACCCGTAGGTGTTATAATTAGAGATAATGTTAACTTTTATTTTTTATAGACCATAAGAAAAATGATGCCTCGTCCTTGGTATCAGCCTGGTTGGTTACTTCGTTTTCCATTCCGGGGTGGAAAGTGCGTCTGCGAAGAATTAAAATGCACTTGCTGTACCGGAGTACGGATTCCCGCCTTTAATTTTGACAGGCGAAGTAAGTTAGACTTCATTATTTAATCATTAATTACTTTTTAACCGACTTCAAAAAAGCAGGAGGTTCTCAATTCGAATGTATTTTTTTTAATGTTAATTACCTCATACTTTTGTCTGGGTGAATCGATTTTGATGATTCTCTTTTTAATAGAAAGCTGACGTTTCCCGTGTGGTTCCATTTCAATTTAGTCCAGTTCTGATAACGGTATCCGTGAGAAAACCATATAAGTCTTAAATTTGCATTAAGTACGTGCGCGACAAATAGATGAATAACTCAATAATTCAATATCACGCCAACCGATTTCGTTGATTATTGTTTTTAGTGTATATTAATTTGTTTTCGAATACCCTTTTTTTCTATTTGAAGTCAGTTTTTGTTAAAGCATGTCTATTTGCAATTATTTTATATAGTTGCTATATTGGTTACATAATTCACTGTTGAATTATAATAATATAATATTTATTATTGACTTTATATTATGTTATAGCATGTGCAATATTGACATACGAGCCAACGGAAACAATGATCGACTTGGAGGTTAAGATGAACAACGAAACTGTTTTAAGAAACTCTTATTCAGGTAAAAGATCTACAACATGCGCTTGAAGTCGCTAAATGTGATTACAGTAATCAATTCAGAACACTTTTATAAAGAAAATTATGAACTCACCTTCGTCGAACTTATAATAAATACTGTAATGATAATACCTACAAATTAAAATACAGCAAACAACACTTTTAATTTTGTGCATTGATTAGGTCATTCTGTTTTAATTAACACAACAATTTTTATTCAACAATTTCCTTAAATTTTAAATTTTCTCGAAAAAACAATACCAAGAAAATATTTTTAGAAAAAAATATTTCTAGGATTTTTTTTGTATAGTATAATTGTTGTTTTCAGCCCGCAACCCACCACCTTTTTGCGTGCCGATTCCAGTGCCATACCTACCTCCTGGCCTAGTAGATATGTGTGTGCGGCTTTTTGATATAAAAATCGTGGATCAAAAACTGCACGTTTGTATGGATATGGACACTAGGATAGACAAAGCACCAGTTGTTGTGAGTGTTTTCGTTATTTAAGATTTGTTTCTGTTCTTTTTGTTGAATGCCGCCACCTATCTTCAAACTTGAAGTCGAAGGCTAATTATTATTGTTCCATAGCTTTGACTAGCTCACTTGGCCCAGGCAACCGTTTAATATTATTGTTCATCAAATTATCCCACTTTTAAATCTCTTTACGCTTCGATTTACGTATTATATACTTTATTAGAAAAATATGGTATAGTGTATAATTCATATTGAACTCATCATTAAGAAAAGCAATTGAAATATCAATTTAGAATTTTTATTCAACAAAAAAAAAAAACTGTCGGTCATATTCATTTACTGGATGCGTTTTATATTGTTTTCCTGCGCGGTTAAGTCGCGCGTGCATTTTACAATGCGTGTCCATGATTTTATGCAGGTTTCCTGAAAAGTTTAACTTTCTAATAACTTCGTCATCACTATTCGAAAAATAATAATTACTCTTAGTACACTGTCAAGTATAACTAGTCAGTTTGTTTATGGTTGAAGTATATCGGTGTATCAACAATACACTGGGAGGCCAGATTTTCGAATTCTATGGATTAATCTTGCATAATGGTAACATCGTTTAGAAAATTGCTCGAGGTGAAATATTACTCATACCATTACCACTACCAAAAAGCAGACAACTTTTAACTATCATTTTTGATTGCCTCTAGTAATCTGGTGCTCCAGTCGAGTGATCTTTGCTAAAAATATTTGTTATCCGGGATCCAGAGGCCATATTTTCGAATTCTATGGATTAACTTTGCTCGAACCGTAACATCGTGGTCTAGAAAATTGTTTGAGGTGATTTATTACTTATACCATTACGGCTACCAAAATTTTCGATTGCGTCCAGTAATCTGAGTCTCCAGTCGAGTCAGTATCTTAAAAGTATTTGGTATCTAGGATCTGATTATATTTCTTATTACCTCGTGTATTTGTTACCGACACTTATAAAACTGGAAAATATCCTGTTCTCTGGGGCTTGGGGCTCTTGAATGTCGAACGATCAATGTACATCTGAGACTTACTGACCTAGTAAATAAAGTTTGTAATTTTTTTTATCTATAGGTGCTACATTTCGATTGTATGGACATGGGATTTAACGGCGTTGGTCTATCAAAGCCCAGTGGCAGCACTAACATATCACCTGGTTTGGTTGAAGGTGCATCTAGCAGCACTGAGTCAACCCAAGTAGCCTACGATATTTTCGATCCTATTACCGATACTCAACCCACCACGGAAGCTATGTTTACTAACACAGTGAAATATATTTAGTAATAAATTTATTTATTTTTCAAATATCCAAGTTTTGATTTATACCCATTTTCAGTCGCTCCACTTTTTTACTATCGTAAAGTATCTATGACACTGAACATCTTTCTTGTAGCCATGCAAGTGCTGTCTATCGTACGATAATCGTATTTAATAGAACTGGTGGTAGGACGTCTTGTGAGTCCGCATGGGTAGGTACCACCATCCTGTCTACGAGTATTTCTATCGTGAAGCAGTAATGCGTTTCGGTTTGAAGGGTGGGGCAGCCGTTGTACTGTAAAAACGGAGACCTTAGAAGTAATGTCGCAAGGTATATGGTGGCATTTATGTCGTAGGCGTCTGCGGGCTCCGGTAACCGCTTAACACCTAGTGGTCCGTGAGCTCGTCCACCCACCCAGCAATAAATACAAAATTTATAATACAGGGTGGCCCATAAGTCCTTTGAAAAGTAAAATTTGAATAAAACGAACAGGGCGCGCGTGAGCGGTGCAGGGGAAGCGGGGGGAGTAACTTCGGTTTCTGGGAATTTAGTCGCGATGGAGCGTTTTACCGGAGCGGACCGTGCGTTTTGTGTGCGCGAGTTTTATAAAAACGACAATTCGGCAACCGTTGCGCGGCGTAAATTTCGAGAACACAAAGGTTTACACAACTTTGACGACACTCCAACTCTTCAAACGATTAAGAACTGGGTTGCTAAGTTCGAGGAGACCGGTTCGACGTTAGATAAACCGCGGTTGGGTCGCCCAAGGACGTCACGTACGGAACAAAACATAGACACAGTGACACAGTCTATTCGCGAAAATCCGACACAGTCAACTCGTAAGCGCGCCAGAGCATTAAACGTATCCAGGACATCGTTACAACGGATTTTGAAGAAAGATTTACATATGCACCCTTACAAAATTCAGTTGGTTCAAGAATTAAAGGAAACTGACGGTATTCAAAGACAAAATTATGCGAATGAAATGTTGAATCGGTTTACTTCCTTCAATAACATAATGTTCTCTGACGAGGCTCATTTCCATCTTAACGGGCATGTTAGTAAACAAAATTGCCGCTATTGGAGCCCCATCAATCCAAAACTTAAGCATCAGAAGCCCTTACATAGTCCGAAAGTGACTGTTTGGGCCGCTATGTCAGCCCATGGTATCCTAGGGCCTTACTTCTTTGAGGATGGCAGAGGGCGCGCAGTTACTGTTACGTCGGAGCGATATGTGGCTATGATCGAAGAGTTTTTCATACCAGAATTGCAAAACTTTTCAGGCTTTAATGCCAGGACGTGGTTTCAACAGGATGGGGCCACTTCTCACACCTCTAACACTGCTATGCCCGTTATCCGTCAACTTTTTCCTGGCAAAGTTATCTCTAAGAGAGGAGACATTTCCTGGCCTCCACGTAGTCCAGATCTGACCCCGATGGATTTTTTTTTGTGGGGCTACCTTAAGGCTAAAGTATACGACACAAACCCGCGGTCAATTGAGGCCCTAAAAGAAAACATCCGCAGAGAAATGACAAGCATTTCAGCAGTGACGTGCCGCGCAGTCATCGACAATTTTAGACGTCGTTTGCAAGAGTGCCGTGATCGCAACGGATTACATTTAGGAGATGTTATTTTCAAAAAATAATTCCCGTTTTTTAAGCTTTTTATGTAAATAAAAATTTAATTCATAATGTAATTAGTTTTATTTTAATAAATTTTTTTTCATATCAAAGGACTTATGGGCCACCCTGTAATAAATGCGAGGAATCCCTATTGTACTGTTCTTTGCTATGCTATGCTACTGCTATGTATAGCTACCGACAATTTCGTTTAGGTTTAGGTTTCCATCAGTGGTAAAAGTTACCAATGACTTCGTTTTTTTTTCTTAACTTCCTTCCTTTATTTATTTGAAACTAGCTGACCTGGCAGACTTCGTAGTGCCTCAATCGATAAGTAGAAGACCTAAAGTTTTGTATAAAATGAACTTAAAACAAACAAAAAGAGTCCGTCCGACGGGGGACACATCAAAGGAAAAACAACATTGTTATTTTTATTTAATTCCGAGCATTTTCATGTTTATCTACCTTTTAAATGTTCTCTGGACTTCCACAAATAATTCAAGAGCAAAATTAATCAAAGCGATCCAGCCGTTCTCGAGTTTTAGCGAGACTACCGAAAAGCAATTCATTTTTATATATGTATATAGATTATAATCAAATGGAATGAAATTTATTGAAACGGAATGAGACAGGATGAAATAAAGCTTTAGTAAAATAGTGGTTATTTACTAAGACTTCAGCGGACTTTCCCAGCGATTTGGTTTCATTTTCCCAAGTTCATGCATTTTCACAGATGCTAAGCAGTTAATAAACCACCTTTATTTAACTTGAAAGCTTAAACACACATTTAAGCTTGAAGAAAATCTAAATTAACCAAATATAGCCCTTAGGACTATCTTTTCCTCGAGTTTCGAGTTGAAATCATAGATTAATGAAATGATGTGAGTACAGTTTATTAAGTGGGTCGTACAAGAGTTTATTAAAATGTAGGGTAAAAAATTTATCTTTGACTAAAATCACTGATGTTCAGGCAGGAAAGTTGTTTTAAATCGTTTAAACAAATGGAAAATGAGAAAATATTTACATTATTGGTTTAAAAAGACATCATGAGTGTACCCATATAAAATAAAATCTAAATTATTATGCTATGTATATTTTAAACAAAAGCATTTAAATAATTTTATACTAAAATTTTCTAAAAAATATTTAAAATCACAACTAAGTAATTAATCAATGCAGATTCGCTTTTTTTAATTCATCTAGTGAATTCCTCCCTTTTCAGCATTCCTTAATAAATATTTTTTTAAATATCTTTGGCCTTTAAAAAACAAGACTCTTGAAATAATGATGTTCCAAGAATTTGATTGCCACACTGAAAAACAAGAAAAATACATTTCTTCTATGGGCTACATATTAATATGTCCCCTTTATCTGTTCAATTACAGAAACAGGACAAAAAAGAGTTCGGCAAATTTAATTCCAAGTCTTAGGGAACTTTTTGGCGGGAACGCGAGGAACGACGTTGTGTGAATTGTTTTATTTTCTCTGTTAACTTTGAGTGTTTCTTCAGATTTAAATTGTAAGTGGTTTATTAACTGTATAGTATCTGTGAAATGCACAAATATGGAAAATGAAACAAAACCGCTGGATGTAATTTCTCGTGATCCTCCAAAAAGTCCATTGAAAAACTCTTAGTAAATAACTACCATTTTACTCAAATTATATTTCATCCCATATCATTTCATCCGATTTCATTTAATTTAATTCCCATTGATTAATGTTTCAAATTAACGAACTTTATTTCATTTCATTCCATATTAACATTTTTCATAAAAAAAAGATTACGCTGTATGGTATGATACCTTTGCCTCTCCAGTTAGAAAACTAGAACAATTACTACTGCCGTACGACCACCACTGTCAATTTCTTTATTTATAAATCCAAAAATTCCAATTCATTTATGAACATTTATTACTATTGGGGAATGAGACAAAGTACAAATTGAAATTCTACTAGAAAATTCATGGTAATTAATAATTTTACTATTTATCCCACAAGGATTCCAATATGAGCGATAATAATGATGAATATTATGGTGACGGGTTAGTATGTAATTTTTGGTAAATGCATGTTTTATACGGTTTTTATCATATATTTTCTAGTCTTTATGTTAGATATTGTACCTTTCAAGTTTATTTTATAATTGGCTCTCTTATTAACACGTCTTTTAAAATTCTAATCAAATTATATCGTTTAAAATTTTCTTTTAAATCTGTTTTTTATTTTGTATTTTGCTCAACATCTACCTATTCATGTAGAAAATCTGATATTAAATTTCATCTCAGTACATATATACGTACGTGACTGTAATTTCTTTGTAATAAACATTATTACTATCCTTCAATATCATAATTTGATTGAAGAAGAAGTTGAAGAAAATATGTTAATTTTTTAATATAATTAAACATAAAAAAACATTACAGACGTAAGTATTAATTTTATTAATTATATATATTTTTTTTTTATTGCCCTTGTAGGCAGACGAGCATACGGCCCACCTGATGGTGAGTGGTTACCGTCGCCCATGGACTTCAGCAATGCCAGGGGCAGAGCCAAGTCGTTGCCTACCGTTTAATACTCTCCACAAGCCTCGTTTGAAGAAGGACATGTCATAGCGCTCGGGAAACACCGTGGAGGGGAGCTCATTCCATAGCCGGATGGTACGTGGCAAAAAAGACCTCTGGAAACGCACTGTGGATGACCGCAGTGGCTCCAGGTAGTATGGATGAACTTTACTCCGATGGCGGGCGGTGCGATGGTAAAAACAAGATGCCGGTATCATCTCGAACAATTCCTCAGAGCACTCCCCATGGAACATACGGTACAAAATACAGAGGGAACCGAAGTCCCTCCGCAGACCCAGAGGCTCCAAACGATCCGTGAGAATGGGATTATCGACAATCCGAACGGCCCTCCTCTGTATGGAGTCAAATGGAAGAAGCTGGTATTTGGGAGCCCCGGCCCAGAGATGGNATGCCGGTATCATCTCGAACAATTCCTCAGAGCACTCCCCATGGAACATACGGTACAAAATACAGAGGGAACCGAAGTCCCTCCGCAGACCCAGAGGCTCCAAACGATCCGTGAGAATGGGATTATCGACAATCCGAACGGCCCTCCTCTGTATGGAGTCAAATGGAAGAAGCTGGTATTTGGGAGCCCCGGCCCAGAGATGAGAGCAGTACTCCACGCGAGGCCGGACTTGTGCTTTATAAAGCAAAAGCCTTTGTCCAGGCGTGAAGTACCGCTTCGCTCTGTTGAGGACTCCCAGCATTTTGGACGCCAACTTGGCTTTGCCTTCCAGATGACTCCGAAACTGGACATCGTTCGAAATGTCGACCCCAAGTATCCCAATACTCTCGGAAGGTTGCAGGGATACTCCTTGGAATTGCGGCGCCATGACAAAGGGGTCCTTCTTCGCAGTGAACGTGCAAACTTGTGTCTTATTAATTATATAAAAAGAGCTTTTATTTTGATATATTTTTGTAATTCTATTCCAGAGCAATGGAGCCTCTGGCTGCTGCTCCTGAAGTGACCTACAACTGGGTCGATGTAACATCTGATTTCTTTAAATACATAAAAGGTAATAACATCTGTAGACTTGAAACACTAAAATTTCATAAATCGTAAAATTTAAATTGACAGTTCCTTTGATGGAATTATTAACAGACATTTATTAACATTATTAGGTGGCATTGCTTATCCACTGATAATACTAAAAGTGCTAATAGTAAAACTTAATAGAATGGTGAGAGCAAAGCAATACATACCTTATTCTTACACAAGTCTTTCCAAGTCCTTGCAAGTATCTTTCCTAATACACAAGGGACTAAATCTGTGAACCTTATAATGTTTCCAAATTCTGTCTAGCTTTATTAGCACAGCATGATTGTCAGTACTGAAATTTTGTAAACTTTTAGATCTGCAGTTAGGAGAGTTACTTCATGATGGCCTCCTTTTTGGACTCTTTGAAGCAATGTCAGCAATAGAGATGATGGACCCGAAAATGGATGCAGGAATGATGTGTAATCGTGGTACTCCGAAACCATTAAATTTCCATCAAGCTGTTGCAGTAAGTATGTTTCAGAGGCTTTCATAATCATTTCTTGATTATTATTTCTCTGCAAAACAAGTACAGTTTCCCAAATGTATCTTTTTTTGTTTTATTGCTTAGATGGGTGGACGAGCTCATAACCCACCTGGTGTTAAGTGGTTACTGGAGCCCATAGACATTTACAACGTAAATGCGCCACCCACCTTGAGACATAAGTTCTAAGGTCTCAGGTATAGTTACAACTGCTGCCCCACTCTTCAAACCGAAACGCATTACTGCTTCATGGCAAAAATAGGCAGTGTGGTGGTACCTACCCGCGCGGACTCTCAAGAGGTCCTACCACTATCTTTATCAAATTTGTGACATTATTTCTCTAATGACAAATATCTTTATTAAGTTTTATACCATGTTTTGGAAACGGCCATATATATATAAGTCCAGAGTTCAAAGTTATAAACAAAAAGATGTGGTAAACTCATTAACTATAAAGACTAAGTTGTGTAATATAAAGTTTTATTTATACAGGCCGACAAGTTGAAGATTGATAACATAGAACCTAATGAACTGATTGGAATCATAGATGCAACAATGGCATGTATTGTTTCCTGGTTGGAAGGACATTCTCTTGCTCAGACCGTTTTTACTAATCTGTACCTACATCAGCCACATTCAATAAACAACAAAATTTTGAAGGCATTCTGTATAGCAGTTTACAAACTGTTGGATTGCATAAGAGATTGTATTAACCAGTAAGTTTGATTTGATTGTTCTTTGTGATTAAGATTTCAATAGAAAGCAATTATTATTATTATATATAGAAGGGGGAAAGGCTATTTGGTTTAAGCAACATTTCGGTTGATACTAGACATTTATCTTTGTAATTAAAGGTACATTTTATTTGGTATTAGTATAAACAATTCAGTGTTTTTAATTGAACTTCAATTATTTTTACTGCATTTAAATAACTGAGGAACTTTTTTTGTAATAATATTTTTTCCAAATTTTTAAACTTTAATCGGCTCTCCTGTAAAGTTGCAAAAATGTCGCAAGACATTTTATTGTTTTTCTATGTATGTAAATTCAAAGATTTTTTTATTTATATTATTTAGACAAGTAATGCATCTGAAGTTTCTGTGGCTTAATAGATAAGACACTTAGTGTCTTGAATCAAGCAATTTAACTAAAGTGGTGAATAAATCCATTCTTGCGCGTGACACATTCAGATTTAAAAAATAGGACAGCCAGTATACAATACAAACAAGACTGACCACATCTCCTAATATGTGTGGCGGTATTAGTGTTGTAATGGCTAGTGAGCTTTTAGCACTTTACACTGGGTGGGTAGTGAAAACGTTTAATCGAATACAATTTTTTTTATAAGTTTTGATTGGATACAACGGGTCATAACCTACTACTTATAACTTTGCATAATTACTAGTGAAAATTGTCTGTGAGCCTAGACATCTACCAACATCTTGCTTATTTTCGCTACAAGTGGTAATGTGTTTGTTGGAATGGTATGCTCCGGTAGTTGTTAAAACAGAAATCGGGTCTCATCACATGGTGGGTCACATTCTAGTCTGATATATATTGACGCTTTCATGGAGAAAATGCTTATGATCTCTTTGCTGATCAGATTTGTTGGCGATCACAGATGATTTGGGTAGACTGGCTAGCAAGAAATGTACAAGGAGAGCTGAAGACCAGGCTCAGTTGTGTGTGTTTGCCCCATACTTAGCTACATAAAAAAGGCTAAAGTAGAAGTAAAATTTTCAATCTGACCTTTACTTTCTACATGAATTGTGCCCTAAAACCAATTGAAATTTATATAAATGTTATATAAAATATGTATAGATTTTTTAATTCTTTTAATTTCACACATCTTTTTTTGTATTTCAGAGCTCAAGTATTTGAAGAAGAAGATTTTCAGCCAATGGGATATGGGTATTATTTAGGCTCTAATCCACAGTCAGGTCATACTTACGACGCTAGTCTGGAAGTTACTGAGGCCAAATGTATTTCATTACTCAGAGAGCAGGAAGAAGAACTAAACAAAAAAACTAAGAATACTGAAGCTGAGGTAAGCACACCGGCAGGTGGTTGAAGCAACAGATAAAATATTTTTATTTTGGAAAAATAATTGTTAACACAAATGGAATAGTGATACAATACAAATTTTGAAAATCATGTGCGAATAATTGAGTAAGTATGAATAAGAAAGGCAAATTGTATAACATTTTAATTTAAGCTATTTTTTCATGATTTTATTAGGCAAATATCCTTTGGACAGCACTAGCAGCCAGAATAAGATTCACTAGAATGTTCTACCAAGCTCTTCTACTGATAACAAAGCGAGATTCGAAGTCGGGAGCCGACTGCGTGGCCCTGTTGAATGGTTGTTCGGAAATGATGAAAGTCATCATTAAAACTTCAGGCAAAGGAACACAGCCTGTGGAGAACTGTAAGTTTAGTTATTCGATTAGGAAATTAATTACATTTTTTTTATTTTATTTATTGCTGTTAAGTTTTTATTATTGTTACTGGTGTTAAGTGGTTACTGAAGCCCATAGACATCTACAACGTAATTGCGCCAACCGCCTTGAGATATAAGTTCTAAGGTCTCAGTATAGTTACAACGGCTGCCCCGCCCTTCAAGCCGAAACGCATTACTGCTTCACGGCAGAAATAGGTAGGGTGGTGGTACCTACCCGCGCGGACTCACAAGAGGTCCTACCACCAGTAAGTACGGAAATTATAATTTTGCGGGTTTGATTTTTATTACACGATGTTATTCCTTCACCGCGGAAGTCAATCGTGAACATTTGTTGAGTACGTATTTCATTTGAAAAAAATTACATTTTACATTACATTTTGAATTAAAACTTTCATTGTTAGTTTATAAACAAATGTTTATAAACAAAGTCTACTTAAAAAAATGAAGTGACTTGATGTCCTGCGTTCAGTGCAATGTATCGCTTCAAAGCCATTTAGCTCGTAGATTTGTCTATTTTTTATAAGGATGTTAGTTATTCTCTATTGATTTGGAAGTTGAAGTCATCACAATAAACAACTAGTTGACCATGTCTAAAATAATAGTAAAATAATTCATAAAGTAGTTATACGGCAAGAGAATTCAATTAAAACGATCATCAATGTTTATGAAAAATTATAATTTCCAAAAGACATTAAAAATAAAATGCAGTTATTCTTCGACTTTCATTTTGATTGTGAGATGTGCTAGATGAGACTCATCAGATGGAATTTGATCACCGCTGCCGGTGAACATCAGCAATGCAAAGATAGAGCAAGATACCAACCTGATGTCTGATACATACCTCGGGACTACCATCCATACTTTTTTTTTTATTGCTTTGATAGGTGGTCGAGCTCACAGCCCACCTGGTGTAAAGTGTTTACTGGAGCCTATAGACATCTACGACGTAAATGCGCCACCCACCTTGAGATATAAGTTCTAAGGTCTCAGTATAGTTACAACGGCTGCTCCACCTTTCAAATCGAAACGCATTAGTGCTTCACGGCAGAAATAGGCGGGGTGGTGGTACCTACCCGCGCAGACTCACAAGAGGTCCTACCACCAGTAACACCAGTACTTCTTGAACTTTGCTCGAAAAAGAATGTTTCATAACACAGCTCCGGGGAAATACCGAAGATAGGAGCAGCAGCCATACAGCAACCATGGCGCAGCGTTAAGAGTGTTATATGTGAACTTTTAATATTATTTTTTAGCCGATTCGCCGAACCCAATGGGATTTGAGCCAATGATAAACCAGCGTCTCCTCCCTCCGACGTTTCCGCGGTACACCCGCATCAAACCAAGAATAGAAGCTCTTCAGTATTTCGACGAGCTCGTTTCGAGACTCCGTCACGCTTGGAAGATCACCTCCTGCACTAACTTCCACACGGCAGTGGTAATGTTTAGTTGTAAATACAAAATTATATTATTGTTTTTTTTTAAGGGATTTTATGACCTGGTAACTAAGACCTTTAAGGTCATGGTCTTATTTTAATTTATATTCTTATTTTTATGAAATGAAAAATGATAATATGGAGTGAAATGAAGTGAAATGAAGATGATTAATTTGAGACATTAATCAACTGGGATGAAATTAAATTAAATGAGATGAGATGATATGGAATGAAATATAATCTCAGTAAAATGATGCTCAGTTACTGAGATTTTTTCAGTGGACTTTTTGGAGGATCCCGAGAAGTTACGTTCAGCGGCTTTGTTTCATTTTCCCACATTTGTGCACTAATAAACTACCGCTATTACACATTTAAACCTGAAGAAACACTAAACAGACAAAATAAAACAAATCACACAATTTCACTAATCGCGTTCCCGCCAAAAAGTCTACAAAATTATATAGTAAGATTTGTGTATAGATAAAAATATGGTAATTTTTTTGAGAACAATCTACCATGTTTTATTGAATGTTCCTTCCAGAGTAATACAAGGGTTTATGTACAAGTAATATGTTCTACTATAACCACTATTTAGTAACTATGACACAATACTATATTATTATGTTGTTTTTTTACTATATATTATATTGAATATATTATTATACTATATTATTATTATTAAAAACTGCTCAATATAATATTTTATCTATATTTCAGGATTTCTTCATGGAATTCAGCCGTCAGCGCGCTTGTATTTTATCGAGATCTGCACTACAGCTACTGTATCTGAGTCCGTCTCCGGCGACGACGGCCGCCACTGCGCAAACCGTTCCCTCGGGAGTTCCTCGGCCCCACCACATCTTCATTGAGATCCTCAGAGATTCGATCAAGAATTTCGTTAATCCACCGGTTTTAATTAATAAACCAATGATGCCAGGCACTCCGCAGGTTAGTCAGACCATACACAATAGTATCAAAGAAAATAAAATATTTGTAGATAATCTTTTGCACCGCTTTAAGGATGCAATTTGTAAAAAAAAAATCTTCGCTGCTTTCTTGTTAAATTTATTGATCTGTGTTTTCACGCTTTGATTGGCATAAGGGAGTCAACCAATTGTTAATTGACTGTTTGACTCCATAGGTACTCCAACAAGAATGTTACGGGTCACCTTGTATTCACTGTATAGTTAAATAATATTTCAAATCGCATTTATGCCAAATAAGTTTTCACTTTGAAAAAATCGTACAACCCTAATATTGAGTCGTGGTACGGTCCGTCAATCAGTTGACATGTTCTGCTAAAACTGATATGTTTGTATTGAAGGCGCGAGAAGTTGTCGAGACTTTTTTGACGAGATGCGTTCGTCCGTTCGCCGTGTTGCTGCAAGTGTGCGGACACAACCGCGCCAGGCAACGGGATAAGCTGGTGCTCTTGCTCGATGAATTCGCTACTTTGCAAGAAGAGGTATGGTCGTATTATCTGTAAGGGCACTAACAAATACACTACACGGTCAGCTGCTGCGAACTATAGGCGCCGCCATATTGGCCTTGGCTGCTCTGGCGAGCGCCTTTCACTTTGTCCCTACTCCGCGGCCGACCGTCACGCGACGTGCAACACACAGACGAAAAAGTTTGAGACGATGTAATAAAAGTTTCACTTTAAAAACTTTTAATAAAACAACAGAAAAAAGTGATTAGTAAAATAGTTATGGCATAACATAAATAAGTTAATTTTTGTATCCTCTTCTGTATTGAAGAAAATGCCCCTTTTAAAGTCTTCGTTTTTAATGTTCAAGAATGCGGTCGAAAAGAAAGTCAAATGACAGTTAGTAAATAATAATAAAAAAAGACGCAATGTACTACAAAAAAGTAGCTGTTGGGTAAAGTCGCACAAGCACAGTGAATGTCCTCCAGTGACTATGTATAATTCAGAAAATGCGTATACCAATCCTAAGTTTTGTACTCGTCCATTGCGGGTTCACGAAACTTTTTAAAAGGAAACAAATTTTAAAAGGATAAGTCATGCTAACGTTTGAATACAGATTCTTTTTTATTGCTTTGATGGGTGGACGAGCTCACAGCCCACCTGGTGTTAAGTGGTTACTGGAGCTCATAGACATCTACAACGTAAATGCGCCATCCACCTTGAGATATAAGTTCTAAGGTCTCAGTATAGTTACAACGGCTACCCCACCCTTCAAACCGAAACGCATTACTGCTTCACGGCAGAAATAGGCGGAGCGGTGGTACCTATCCGCGCGGACTCACAAGAGGTCCTACCACCAGTAAGAGATTGTTCGTTCGGCTTTTGGAACGATATTCACTGCGCCGTTTTCATTTACAAGCATATTCTCGGCTAATTAATTTGATGTACATAACTCGTGATATTGTTTTTTGTAATTATATTTTCAGGCGGAGAGCGTGGACGCGATAACGAGTGGCAGCATGGGTACTGGAGATTGTCCGTGCTTCAGTACTTGGGTTCTGTACCACGTGCTGCGTGTAATGATCGCGTATCTACTCTCCGGCTTAGAACTGGAGCTGTACTCTGTACATGAATATCATTATATTTTCTGGTGAGTTTCGGTACCGAATTCCATCAGTCCACCTCGTGATATGAGGTCGAAGTCTCAATTTTACTGGTGGTAGGACCTCTTGTGAGTCCGTGCGGGTAGGTACCACCACCCTGTCTGTTACTGCCGTGAAGCAGTAATACGTTTGGGTTTGAAGGGTAGCCATTGTAACTATACTTGAGACCTTAGAACTTGTATCGAAAGGTGGGTGGCGCATTTGCGTTCTAGATGTCTATGGGCTCCAGTAACCATTTAACACCAGATAGGCTGTAAGCTCGTCTAACCATCTAAACAATTAAAAAAAATGTACTGCATAACGGCCTTACATTGAAACCCGAGCCCATATTCGCTATGCGCAGTAATGGGCAAAATGGTGGTACCTACCCTCTGATCAGATCACGAACAAACAGTACCTAACCTTTATGTTTCGAGGGATGAAAGGTTATTTGGTTTAAGATATATTTTTGAAACTTTACAGGAGAGTAACTTAAAGTTTAAAATTTGGAAAAAATATCATAACAAAAAAATATTGTTACGCCGGTAAGAGTAACGCCATATATCGCTGAATAGTCTAACGAATATAGAAGGATCTAGTAGCACCTAGAACGCTCGAGAAGTACAACGCCATCTATTGTCAGATAGCGGAAACACAATACTAGAAATGTGTGGAATATTCTCGAAAATTCTAGGGATGTGGTATCGGCTATAAAAGCGCTGCAGAGATGGCAGGGAGTCAGTTTTGCAATCAGTAAGATTGAAAACCAGGCATGTACAAACTGCTTGTTCTATGAAGGCGTTGTTGTCTCAAGAATATGACGTCGAATGTAGTCGTATCAAGCGATGCGACATCAGCAGATCCAGCGGACATATACGAATTCTTCTAATGAAAAAACGTACAAGATTAATTCATGTTGACGAATGACATCCCCGATGAATGCATATTGCATCTTCTAATAAAAAGTGTTACTTTATTTCGCACGGCAGAAATAGGCAGGGTGGTGGTACCCACCCGCGCGGACTCTCACAAGAGGTCCAACCACCAGTAAAAAAAATTTGCTGTATTGGTGTTCGCAGGTATCTGTACGAGTTTCTGTACGGCTGGCTGGTGTCGGCCCTGGGACGAGCTGAAGGGCTGGCCAACGAGACCACCAAAAGAATAGAAGGGAAACGTGCCGGTGTACGGAAACAGAAGAAACGCACGCGCCCTTACGCGAGGGAGGGTCTCATGTGTCAAGTCATGCAGAACATGTGCGGGGGATATTATAAGGTAATATATCGACGTTAGAAAGGCAAACGTGACCAAGCGACAATAATTAACTGCTTTGTACATAAATCATAGGCAATAATCATATTCGATGCGCAAAAAAAAAAAAAATTAATTCTATTATAATAATTTCAATCCTACAGCTAGATTCGTTAAAATAGATTTTTTTCAGGTATTTCAACTTTAAATTAGTCTACTGTAAAGTTCACGCATTGTCGCTTAATCACGTTTGCTTTTCAAGCGTCGGTATACAAATATAACACTATTCATTTCGACTAAGGTAATCGTAATTACTTACCTTACGTAACTTACAAAAACTTTGTACCCCTTTTTACGAAAATTGCGCAAATGGAGAAATATGAAATTTCCCACACTTATAGAGAACATAGAGAAGGAATGCAGAATGCTAATATTTATTTAAATTATACATTAATAATACATTAAATCAATAAAAAAAAACATTACACACGCTACCATATATTTGACACAAACACACACACACACACACGCGCATAAATACTCTTTAGTTTATTGTTAAAGTCTGTGACTGTGTCTGTCTATCAAATTGAGAATAACTTTCAAGTTTGCTCAGTTTTTGATTTTCTAACCATTTTCAGTGTCACCCCCCTATAAATTTGATTGTTTCCGCAGGCGTTAGTCGCTTTCAAGCTGCAAGGGAAGATCCGTCAGCCGCAGTCCGAGTTCGACAACGAAGCGGTCCGGTACAAGCACCGGTTCGCGCCGCTCTCCGGCCTGAGTCCGCCCCAAGTCCACTACCACGAGTTCTGCGAGATGACGCAGCCGCTGCAGTGAGTTTTGAGTTTTAAGACACGAGTCGATTGAGGCGACTTTCGAGTAACGCTCGCGCGATCGTCGGGTCGTCGCCCTGTGTACGCTGGTACTTGCCGGCGGGATTCGACCACCGTTGCATTCCTAGATAGAGCGCGCGTCGCGTAAAAAGAACGCTGGAAGAAAGTGGAGGGGGTGTGTTTGCGCATGGATACACTCGCGCACGAAAATACTAAGTACTTTTGTTTTATTTTTGAAGTAATCTTTCGCTCGCGGCTTCGTATATTGGTTATAGGTATGATAGGTATGTACAGTTTAGTAGTTCTGTACTCTTGTAACTGTATGCAGTTACATGTTACAGGAGAGCGTAGAAAGATATCATAAGTTTGAAGTTAAAGCTTAGGTAAAGTTATAAAGATGATAATTTCTCTTTATGTGAATTGTACGATAGTTAGTGATGCACTTTCTTGACTGTAATTAAATTCATATTATATTATTCGTTGTCACGCGGCAAAAAGTGGATCGCGTCGCGAGTAAGCATGACGTTCTGGTACTGTTGGTGGTCGGCATTTCGTAACTATAATAAAATTGTACGGTGGTAAGATCGTACATGGTAGGTACGTTAAAAATAATATATTAGATAGAATTTTATGAAATAGAATTAAAAACATGTTTAATTTCTGCGTAAAATGTTTAATCTGAATACGAACAGACAGACAGACAGACGGACGGAAGGACGGACAACAAAGCGATCAAAGGGTTCCGTTTTTTTCCTATTGAGGTACGGAACCCTAAAAATGAAATTAGACTCGGAACATTTTGTTGCCACTGCGGTCCGTTTCATACATTATTTCAAATTTTCAACTGCATTATTATCAGCCTCTTTCTTCATAAAACAATATACGTCATAAATCATTTTTCTCACTTTTCTATGTAAAACCATTTTGTAATTAAAACTTATGTGCGCGATAGTATTTTGTGAACGAACGTAACGTGAACCCAGCGCGGAAAGCAAAGGTCGACTGACGAACCAATAGCACACCGGCAAGCATGCGGCAGGTGACCCGCCCGCCGCGCGCCGCACCTTTTTTTTTTTTTTTTTTTTTTATTGCCTTTGTAGGCAGTCGGGCATACGGCCCACCTGATGGTGAGTGGTTACCGTCGCCCATGGACTTCAGCAATGCCAGGGGCAGAGCCAAGCTGCTGCCTACCGCTTAATACTCTCCATAAGCCTCGTTTGAAGAAGGACATGTCATAGCGCTCGGGAAACACCGTGGAGGGGAGCTCATTCCATAGCCGGATGGTACGTGGCAAAAAAGATCTCTGGAAACGCACTGTGGATGACCGCAGTGGCTCCAGGTAGTATGGATGAACTCTATTCCGGTGGCGGGCGGTGCGATGGTAAAAACGAGATGCTGGTATCATCTCGAACAATTCCTCAGAGCACTCCCCATGNAAGGTCTCAAGTATAGTTACAACGGCTGCCCCACCCTTCAAACCGAAACGCATTACTGCTTCACGGCAGAAATAGGCGGCGTGGTGGTACCTACCCGTGCGGACTCACAAAGGTCCTACCACCAGTAAAGTGGCATATAGGCAAAGTAATGAAAGTCTGAATAGTCAAAAGTCGAATTTGAGATTTTAGGAAGATATCTGAAATATACTATGGTATTGTAATCTAAATATAATAACATCCTACTAAACTGACATCGTTGAATGTACGAAATACACTGTATTATTAAAAGTACATTAGCTCACCACCTTTTTGTGGTACTATGACGAAAACCTTTCCTGATATGCATATAATAAATATCAAGTTTCAAGTAAATTAGACCAGCAATACCAAAACACATAATATATCAACAAAGGAACAATTGGGTGGCAGTAATCTGTACTTTAAAATTATATAATCTACATTAAATGTGGAAATTTGTATCTTTTGTTGTTTCTTAGAGTTTATTAAAAAGTACAGAAGTGACCGAATGAATTTTAATGAAATTTCTCATATCCATCTATTTATCTATTTTTATATTGACTTATTTAATCTAGTTTGAAGAATGATATAAAATAGCTTTCGTGAAACCACATGCAGGGTAGTTCATTGAATAATATATACAGCGTAAACTGGCCACAGAGTAATGTAATTATTAAATAAATAAATTTATTTTCAGGTGCAAGATCTGCTCAAAGTTGCCAAAACAAATTTTGTCGTTTTAAAACTATTAGCGGGGGGACACAAAGCCGACTCAACTACATCGCCCGAGTTTGATTTCTCTGTACATAGACACTTTCCTATTATCAAATTAGTTTGATATTATTGTATATATGAATAAATTATATGAATAAATAAATAAAGTTACGTGATCAGTGTATTTTTATGTAGTCTGTGCAGTTTGGCATCCCTAGTTATGAAAATTAATTTATGGCAACATTATCCTAAGTTCTGTAGCGTATTTACGGAGGCTATTACGAAGGAGTAACCTTTGTGCTTAAGAAGCACCTGTCGAAAAGTAACCATTAATAGGCTCAGGGCGCCCCCGTAGCAAGTGGTGTAATATCGAATTTAGCGCCAAAAGTTAATATATTTTTAACCTAAGCACTGGTAGCCTTGAGGGGCTATTTTACCTTCTCTTGGCTGTTTACAACTGCGATATTCATATCATACGACTTATTTTTAATAGCGCTGTTTTGGTGGATTTTTTAAGTTGCAATTAACTTGCAGTTGGACATTTTTTCAAATTGTTACTAAGAAAAGAGAGTTTCGTTACCTCTGACCTCCTTATGTGCATTCATTATAAAAAAGAAAAATATTTAATATTTTTACTCAAAAACGAGGTTCGAAGTTACTTCTTTTTGAAGTCGGTTAAAAATAGAAAAAGAGTTAACTAAGGAGCAGGAATAGAAAACAAACCGCTCTTTTGAGAATAATTTTCTGTCTGTGTTTTCTGTCTCTGTTCGCTCATATCTCTGGAACTACTGAATGTATTTTTATTTAGTTTTTATACATTTAATTCGGAACAGAAAATGATTATATGAATACAGGACAGCATATAATATTTGTTTCATTGAAATAGGATGTTACAAAATTAATAGTATTTCGTTTTATTTATATGAAACTAATGTCTGTCACGCCAAAACCATTTGATTGAGCCAATTCTGACGAAATTGGGTATGGACATATTTTGATCCCTGGGGAAGAGAATTTATATGAAAGTTAAGCAAGTGAATTAGTGCGTGCGTGCGAAGCTGCGGTTTGGCAGTTAGTATGATAATAACATATTTTCAAAACTCATTATATAATTTTTATCTTTATTTAAATAAGTTTAAAACTTGTATCTTGATATTAAATCTTGGTGAGTTTTACTAAATTTTCTACGATTACAATTACATTGCAATAAATAATAAGTACGTAATTGTATAATATGATATGAAATAATAAATAAATTTTAGTGAATATAAACAGATTTGATCTCATTCTTCTTCTTCTTCGGTGTCTGCATCTGATACATCAGTGTAGCAATCGCCTTCAGTTGTCTTCACTCTCAAGAAATCAGTAGCTTGAGGGCCTGAAATAATAATAACGCATTCTCAAATTGAAGCAAATCGATAGTTTGAAGAGCTACCAAAACAATGCTCTAATAAACTAACTAGATCCGACCAAAATAACTCAAGGTCTCTTGTGGCAGGAATAGGTCGGTACCTAAATAATTACTAGGCAATAAGTCTTCTAAAACCTTTTGAAACATAGATGCTTCTAGTTCTAACACTAGGAGCAGCCATAGCACAGGTCGCTGTTCTCGGCAAGGAGTTGGACGTTACACTTAACCCGTAGCATCACCTGAGTTTATCGCCTGTTCTTCTCAGCAGGTCGATATTTCGGCCCAATAGTTGATGCACTTGCAAACTAGCTGCCTTTGAGTTAAGAGGCTTCCTTCATTGCTAAGCTCTAACTTTTCTGGCTGAGATTGTGCTTGCTCACCCATTCTGGTGAAGTTGAAATAACTTCGAAGCGAAAAACAATCCCTCCGTCCCGAAAAAACCTATGGTTTCGGTTTCTTGGCGTTTTGCAGACTTTTTACACTACCTATATCTTGGAAGGTAGTATTTACTATGGCAGTAGCTAGCAGTTTCCATGTGAATGTTATTGTTGCTGTTATGGCCTTGAATGACCAAGGTTATTTTTCCACTCAATACTCTTTCTTCATCCTGTGGGCTGTTACACTGCCCCCAGAGACACGCCATAAAAACAAAATGAGTTAACAAACTACTGTCACTAGCTGGCAACAGGTACAGTCCTATGCCGTTAAATGACAATGTACAATACATACCTACCTCTCTAATTCTTATGGAAAATGGAAATACACATCCACAACGATTTATTAGATGCGGGGTTAGAAAAAAAAAACTATACTTTTTTGACAGCTTGTTGCTTCTAGATTTAGTTATTCTATGGTCGAATTGAATTTCAGTAAAGTGCCAGCGTATTGCTTAAGCCAACCTTCTGTATAAACGACGTTAGCGGCGAAGTCTTGTATGGGAACTGGTGTGAGAGACCGGTTTATTCCAGAAACTGTGCTTTCTTCTTCGTCTTCTGAATCCACTAAAATTTCTTCCTCCTCACATTCTTCGATCTGGAGATTTAGTAAAATAATTTGAGTTGATTGCTACTTTGTAGTGCTATTTATGTATGTTAACCTATTGTGATAGTATGGTTTGGTAGTAGCCTATGAGTTGTAATAATATGTATGAAAAAAATAAAAATATATAGAGTCGAACATAAATCCTGAAATAAAGATAAATTTACAATGAATAAAAACTATCAACAGTTCGTCTTCAAGCTGGATATGGTATAATATATAACATTATATATTTTAACTCATCTTTTATTAACTGTATATAATAATATGATTGGCCGATATTGATATTCCTGTTAGAATAGTTATATTACCCCGCTATGTATTTGCCATATTTTTCCAGAAATACTCGATGTTTTCATATTATGTCGGAAGCGACTGTTTTAAATAATATAACCGTCAGTTGTACAATATCTGTCTACCTAATGATTTATTTCCAATCTACCTAAATTATGTTATTTGGTGGGCATAACAATTATATTTTGGTGTTCTTTTCTCTTTTGCAATCAGGGCCGAAAGAATACGAGTTAATAAGCACACCCAGACCTTATAGCTATGCTATTTATATACATAAATAGAAATTTTGGAAATTGTGTGGTAAATGTAACCTTTGTAACGTAATAATATGACTTGTTTTTGTTCTACCTACATACATAGCAAATATTCTTAGCAAATTATTGTAAGTCTCGTCAAAATCGGTCCAGCCGTTCCAGAGATTAGCCGGAACAAACAGACAGACAGACAAAAATTGTAAAATATGTTATTTTGGTGTATGTACCGTATATATATTCATATGCGTGTAGTAAAAATCGGTTATTTCAATATTACAAACAGACACTCCAATTTTATTTAATTTTATATGTACATATTTTATATGAGTACCTGGATATCAAAAGACTGCTGCTTATTCTTAAACTCCATAAAAGCCGCTGATGAGGATCTCTTTGCTAATACTTTAGCAGTGCTCGGAGATGGCGTATCTTCAGCGGGTTGACCTTCATTGATTTGATAGCCCACGTCCAAATTTAATTGAATGTTTGAAGTAGCAGACGAACGCCTTCTACGCAACTGACATTCTGGTTCCTCTGTCATTATGAACCTCTAATGGAAAGCAAATTTTATTGGTTTAATAAACATCTTATTAAACACTAGCGGCCCGCCCCGGCTTCGCTTGGGAAGTAAGTAGCGCACGCGATGTAAAGAATATTAGGTAATTTTTTTACACATTGGGTTATATTATTAGAGTTTCAGTGAGGAACCCAAATTTTTTTTTAATATTATAAATATAGCCTATGTCACCCGGGGATAGCGTAGCTTCCCAACAGTGAAAGATTTTTTTAAATCGGTTCAGTAGTTTCGGAGCCTATTCAATACAAACAAACAAACAAATCTTTCCTCTTTATAATATTAGTATATTTATCAATCACGAACATCTCGGTCCTACAACAGCTTAAAATGGAGAACGCTCAACGCCTGTCTAACACCTGTCTGCAACGCATAATGCGCTACTTTGGCCACGTTGCCCGCAGAGGTGTAGACAACTTCTTGGAACATCTGATGGTCACTGGAAAAGTAGAAGGAAAACGTCCTAGAGGCCGGAGCCCCAAACGTTGGTCCGACCAGGTCTCCGAGCAAACCAGTGGACCACTTAGCGCTGCACTACATCAGGCAACTGACCGGAGCCGATGGAGGCTGGCAGTCGACAAGCTGAAATGGATCCTCAGCAATGAGGGAGCGATGGAGAAGAAGAAGAAGAACAAATAAACAAACATAATCATAAAATGTATGCTGTGTTTTTTTTCTAATTGTTCACTGTGCATATTATAATCCGCTTCAGTTCACATTTCAATAGATAAATATTATATATTGGACCTATCTTATTGGACTAAGCTTATTACAGAATATTCTCATATCTGACCCCGACGACGGGCAACGCAAAGCTGTCTTCGCCCGAAACATGTCTTGTCGGAGCCCCAGGATCCGCTTCCGGTGCTTTTTGGCTCTTCAAGCACCGATCATCGTAATTGAAGAGTTCGAAGAGCGAACTAACCCATAGACAGGACGGTGACCGGTACTTGAGGGTCCTAAAAACACCGAGAGTGGATGCAGGGGATCCGACAAGACATATTTCGGGCGACGGCGGCTTTGCATTTTCCCGTCGCAGGCGGATAAGGCGATTTGGTACATAAGCACTCTAACCACTACGCTTCGTTTAAATTATAACTTTGGAGAACCTTCTAGAATATTGCTATCAAACAGTCTTCAAAATGAAAAAGTAATAGTTACCTACCGATTTTTTTTTTGCGAAATCAGAACTGTTGTCTTCTTTTTGTTTCTTGATTTGCTTACAAAGCATCCATTAAATTGGTTAGTGAGGTGACTGTTACTGGACTACTAAGTAGATCAGACCCCGAGGGCATAAGCGAAGCCATAAAACATAATCTGTATTGTTTGGTTTCAGGTGTGTTCAACCATTCCATATTTGTACAATGTAAAAAAAAAAATCGAAGATAATATGTACACATATTTTATGACGTGCAAGAATAAAAACGTAAACATTTATTAAAATAAAAAAAGCTACAGGATCGCGTATCACGGCTAAAATTTGTTTTACATAATATTTAAATCTCGTGCTTATTATTTTCATATTTTTCAAATGTGTTATGGTTTTTGTGGTCACAGGCTTACAAAGGTATTATTCGACATTGTTATTGTGGAAATAACAAAACCGTAAAAAATCTAGTATATAAATTGTGATGTGGGCTTCGGATAGCCCGACGAGTGACGATCGTGGCATCGAGGATTTCCCATTCGGAAAATTCGTCCAGTCATGACACGATGGCGGGAAGACATGCGCTTCGCTGGAAACGCGACACGTCCTTATGGACCCACTCGATCCAATCTCAGTACTATTAGCAGCAGTAAACATCACCACAACTCAGCATATTCGAACTCGAAAAAGAGCTTAACGTGAAATTTAGCCCATAATAATAGTCTCATCGGATCTTCTCAGTAGATCGCGAATACTATCTTGTTTTAGATGCACTTGCGAAGTAGCTGCCCTTGATCTGTTAGGCTCTTTTAGGGCACTCGGGTAGCTGTAAGTAAACTTTTCTTTTGAGCCTTTCAATCCTGAGTATGTAAAAAAACCCGTCACCTTGCCTCCCGTCTGGCTCGTATGAGTTCTAGCTCATCCAAGACACAGATGCAGATTGTTGAGCGAGAAGGGATTTTATTCGACAATTTCCTCTTCACCTAAAAATAGCATCTAGACTGTATTAGAACTGTAATATACAGTAATAAATAAATATTCCTACAAAATGTCACGCATAACAAATAAAAAACACGTACCTACATATTTTGTAGCAATGATATCAGTTGAAACTACATAATTGTTCATAACCTCTGTAATTTATATGGATTCTCCTATTATGTTCTAAGTATAACCTACTTAATATGTTATGTATGGTTCTCTTTGAGACATTAAGTGTTGTCTCGCTCATTCGTGTAATCGGAAGTAAAAGTCTGTCCGATTTTCTTACCGTAAAAATGAGTTATTGAATATGATGTTGGTGAATGTCATGTAATGTTAATTGGTAGCTGCATCACCGGTTTTAAAATGAGCCACTGGCCTGAGAACGGACTCAAAACAAATGCAAAAAAATAATCTTTTCCATTTTTACAATATTACAATTTAACTAATTACCATTTTATTTTATATTAGGTAATAATTGCCTTGAATTTTTTATTTAAGCTCTTATGCTTTCCGTTGAAAAGGTGAGCCAACGGTTACATAATGCAATTCAGACTTCGGTCTCATATCCCAATAAAGGTTTCAAGCATTTACGTCATGAAGTATATGATAGACATTTGCTCTTGGCTCTGATAGACATTTAGCACTATACGGGCCGTCAGCGTTTACACTCGTCTATGAAATGACACGTTTATAGGGATAGATACAATTCAATATAGATATTATGATGCACTAATTTTCTCTGAAAATTTCTATATGTATTTTACGATATCCGATCCACAAAATATCAAGATTCTTTGTTCTCACTTAGAATTTAATCATACAATTATATTATACGATTAAATCTATACAAAGGTAATTAAAAAAATTCTACACTAATGTTTTTTTTTACTAACTCGATGGCGAACTAATTAGCGCCTCTGAGTGTTGGGTCGAGGGTGAGGGCTGAGAATCGTGGGTTTGATTCCCATATCAGGCAAACTTTCGTGTGTTTAAGCAGGCTTGTTTGTTCTTTGTCTCAGTTTTTATTGTCTATTTATACTTTTAAATTGACACGTATTTTTTAAACATTAATTTTATTGACATTGCAATAAAATGGAAAGTAGTCACTGTTTTAATTCTGTGTACACGTACCTAGCCGTAAATGAGCGCCGTTAGATTCATCCTCTTTGAACATCATTAGCTGAGCCACCTTCTTTTTGTCTTTTTTTCCTTTTATTCTTTTATTTATTTTCCTGCAATAATCTAAACATGTGTGAAATCCAATAAATGATTTTATTATATTATTACTAGCTGACCCGGCAGACTTCGTAGTGCCTCAATCGATACATAAAAGACTTGAACTTTTGTATAAAACAAACTTAAAACAAACAAAAGGAATCCGTCCGATGGGGGACACGTCAAAGGAAAAACAAAATTGTTATTTTTATTTAATTCCGAGCATTTTCATATTTATCTACCTTTTAAACCTTCTCTGGACTTCCAAAAATAATTTAAGACCAAAATTAGCTAATTCGATTTAGCCGTTTTCGAGTTTTAGCGAGACTTACGAACAGCAATTCATTTTTATATATAGAGATTAATGTAGGACCAAAATTTTCCATTGAATTGGTCCATTTGTTACATGTCAAGTTTTCAATCATTGTATTAAATGATATGCAAGGTCTTGCCTTATTTACTACGTTCACTTATGTATTTACAGCAATTAATGCTATTAAAGGTGATTTGTTAGCAGCAAACTGAATTAGCTTAAGTACCCAACGGTCGTCCAAGGCCGAATGTTGTTTTTTTTCTTTTTGTCTCTTTTCATCTAGTTTTCTTCAGACGCAGAGTTATTTAATTTAAGCCTCGTCTGGCAATAATAAGAATTATTCCATTTCAGAAATTAACGGAGGTATATTATAGTCAGTAACCATGGTTTGTCGTTGTTTTTTTTTAATGTAACCATCATCAGGGTACAAAACTAGATACCTGTACCGTGTTGCCGGAATAAGGTTTGAACAGAACACGGCAGTCAACGATTTGACTTTGCCTTTAACAGATTCTTGTGATTAATTGATTATTGTAAATAGTAGGCGATCGAAGTAACAACCGAAGATAGAGTATCACCATCGTACGAGAGACGACGAGACGGCGTAGCATACGGTCGCAACTGGCTCCATCTGGGAGGAGTAGCATCGAATCTTCATACCTCAAATGTGACACGACTTGTCGGTCTCAATCGTCGTATCTACGATGCTCGGCTGCGTCGATTCCTGGAAGGCGATAATTAAGTTTTGCGAGTTTATCGTCTCGCATAAAGGAGCGATGGAGTGTGGAAGGAAGGCTCTTCTCTCACCGCGTTAATTTGTCACTGTCCAGCCGGGACAGACTTTAGACTCCTAGACGCGAGGATCTAGAGATCTGGCTCCCGGTCTAAAGGGTTGCGTTTTTGAAGTCAGGTTTTGAGAAACACGCACTCTTAGCAGAGTTTTAGTTTTATCATATAAGCAGCCGGTTAATCAAATACAATATTTCTGTCAAACCTGAATAGATATTTGGTAGTTGCCTGATATCGTTTAAAGCTCATTAAAACCATTGTAGCTTCATTAGAATTTCTACAGCAACACGCAATAGTTAGGTAAATAAAGGTAAAACATAAGTGAACTCCAAAACAGCTTAACAGCTTTGTGAATATTTCCCAAGAGCATTAACGGTCAAATATACTTTAGATTATATTAGCACATGCTACCTAATTACGGTAGTATCCCTTAGTCCCTAAACAAAATTAGGTCCGAATGAATTTGCAAGTAATTGTTTTTGTTTACTTTTAGGCTAGAGTTGACCTTAGTCGGGAGAGTCATTGAAACTTTCGCACTCCCTCGTTGACCTGGGCCCTAGCCTGTT